TAGGATAAACTGGACCTGCATGAGATCAATCTAGAACTCAATTGGATCAGTTTGGATCACCATTAGAATAAACAGTACCACCATTAGACCTACTTAGACCGTCATTAGGATCACGTATTAATGGATCACCACCAACGTCAGTATAATAAAAGTAAACTCATAATCATATTAAAACAACGGCGAAGTCGTTATATTGAGCACAAAATATCTTCATAAAAACGTAATTTGATTTTTTTCCCCTAGGTTCTTCCCTTTATACACATTATGCAATGTAAATACCGTTAATGCAAAATTTCCATTTTTATATTTTTTATAGCTCGCTGACAACTGGCCACAGATGTTTTCACCTATTTATTTAAGCGAAAAGATAATTAATGTTAGAAGGTTCGTTCTGTGTATTTGATCCGCGCTTTCTGTTCAGCTGTTGATATGTGGTGTGCTACCCTCATAGTTTTAAGTGCTACCTTCATATTGTAGTCAGCTACCCTCGTATTTTAATGAGCTACTGTCATATTTAGCGATATCTGGGCTACTATCTAGGGTGTGTTACTGGTTGGTCTATCTCTACACCATACACTGCACATAGCCATGGCTAATAGTGGAGCCATGGATGGAGCTATTTACACGTCTCTACCATAACAGTGGAGCCATGGATGGAGCTATTGACACGTCTCTACCATAACAGTGGAGCCATGGATGGAGCTATTGACACGTCTCTACCATAACAGTGGAGCCATGGATGGAGCTATTGACACGTCTCTACCATAACAACCATGGATGGAGCTATTGACACGTCTCTACCATAACAGTGGAGCCATGGATGGAGCTATTTACACGTCTCTACCATAACAGTGGAGCCATGGTTGGAGCTATTGACACGTCTCTACCATAACAGTGGAGCCATGGATGGAGCTATTGACACGTCTCTACCATAACAACCATGGATGGAGCTATTGACACGTCTCTACCATAACAGTGGAGCCATGGATGGAGCTATTGACACGTCTCTACCATAACAGTGGAGCCATGGACGGAGCTATTGACACGTCTCTACCATAACAGTGGAGCCATGGATTGAGCTATTGACACGTCTCTACCATAACAGTGGAGCCATGGATGGAGCTATTGACACGTCTCTACCATAACAGTGGAGCCATGGATGGAGCTATTGACACGTCTCTACCATAACAGTGGAGCCATGGATGGAGCTATTGACACGTCTCTACCATAACAACCATGGATGGAGCTATTGACACGTCTCTACCATAACAGTGGAGCCATGGATGGAGCTATTGACACGTCTCTACCATAACAGTGGAGCCATGGACGGAGCTATTGACACGTCTCTACCATAACAGTGGAGTCATGGATGTAGCTATTGACACAGACCTCCCCCTTGTAACCCACCCCTTGAACCGACCAATCACCGCTCCGTACCATCAACTGTACACCTATAATTGCCCTTAACTACATGCCTGGAACTGTAGGAAGCCATACGGCTATTTCTACAAACCTTGACGTCTTTTATTGTACAATGATAGTATTAAAAACAAAGAAATGGTAGAGTACACCGATGTCTGAAGAAGATTTCAATGAGACACCCGTATTTTCTAAAATGGCAGTAGTTCTTTGAAGCTACGCTAAGAGTACAACTCGAGTAGCGGTCGTACGGGTAGTTTGTATGAGCATGAGGTAGCGTCTATATGGCGGTGTCAGCTCATACACGTGTGTGGCTGTGTGTGAATTACTTTGTGTGACTTTGTGTGTTACTGTGTGTGAATTACTTTATTTGTGTAACTTTGTGTGGCTGTGTGTGAATTACTTTATTTGTGTAACTGTGTGTGTGGCTGTGTGTGAATTACTTTATTTGTGTGGTTTTGTGTGTGGCTGTGTGTGAATTACTTTATTTGTGTGACTGTGTGTGTGTCTATGTGTTGATAATGTGAGTGACCCTGTGTGTGTTTATGTTTGTGTGTGTCTGTTCTCAGTGACATGGGTTTAGATAAAAGATGACATCAACTCGGGATTCTCTGCTGGCGTGTTGGTCCCAGTGAATGACTTGGATACAAGAAAAATCCACAAAGTATTTAGCTCTATCTTGTATAATGGTTTGTATGAACAAATAAATTCAATATGAAGTCGACCTACATGGCTTCCATCGGCTGTAATGGTTATACCAGTTTTGTTCCATTGTATAGTGACCATGGGGGAGTTGGAACCAAAACAAGTTCATGGGGTAGGTCGGGTGGGGGGGGGGGAATGACCTAGACCCCCTACAATACTCTCACTGCTTGATTAAATCGTCACTACAGCCCACAAACCTCGCACAATTGATTCATATCGTCACGACAGATATTCCAGCTCAGTCAAGTCTGTGTATAGCGCGCAGGGCACCCAGTCTTCACACGCAGGTGGGGTGGGGGAGAGCCCAGGGTAAGGCCAGAATTAGCTTGGACTAATGGCCCACCCGCAGAAGTCTGCTGAGATTAGGTAGACAATCCGCTCGTGATCATTTAATTCTGTCCCCTGTGGTACTTAATCCTCTAGAAGCCGTGGCCAATTAATCCCCTGTGTGGCCACACAAAGAAGCCAGAGACATTCAGATTAGGCCAATAGTAAACCACAAAAGGCATTTTTAATTCGTGGGCTACATACACAGCATAATTTGTACCGTATGATAGCGCCAATTATTAGTGCCCATTCACCAACAGCATAGATATAAATCAGCGCCTATTTATAAACAAACACTCGCACAATAGAAGAATATCCAGGAATGTACTCGCATTTGTTAAAACTTTATTATCAAATTAGCTTTGTTAAATAAAGGTATTGCTTTCAAATAACACGATATGTAAACAAATAGCAAACAACCTAAGTTATATTATAGAACATTTGAAAACGTACTAAGATCAACTACAAAGGATAGATAAAAGTAATAAACAATGATCTGTTTTCATTATAAAATTTTATAAAACCAATATACAGTATGACATGATAGCCTATGATTTTTGTAATTTTTACCCCATTCTACATCTATAAACTTTTTACCTACTTCGTTACATTTATATACTCGAGTTTTTAGCACGCATTTCTTTTTGAAACGCATTGACTAAATAATGGCATAAGGCATATCAAAACATTTTCAAAATGAACAAGTAGAAGATTGTCTTTGGTAAACCAGCAACGTTTAACCACATAATTTATCCTACTTAAAGACGATTTAATGTAACTGTTATAATTATATATTAAAAAAAACTTTGGTTCAAGGCTTTTCGAAAGAACATCAAAACTTTGATGGCTGAAGTCTAATCGATTCGTAGCAGCAGGTGTTTTATTCATTTTAATTTGTTTCTTCGTAAAAAAAAAAGCCAATTATAGAGAATGTATTTATCGAAAAAAAGTGAAACGCGTTGACAGCCATAAATAGCATGAGACAGGAGAAAAATCAATTAATGGAAGTTATAAATTTGGATTTTTAGACTAACGTCAATCTTCAGGTTTAATCATCAATATACAAAATAGATTCCGTTTAAACTGTATGATAACATTAGAAACGGAAATGTTTGTGTTTGAATAGACAGATCTAGATCTAGAAGAAATCTGGGATTATGTGAAGACTTTGAAAATCTCCTGTGGTAAATAATCGGCCTGACGTTCTCCCTTCAGATCACACTGGCTGAGGTTTGACCTGCGACAGTGACACGACAACTTAAATTTGATTCTACTCACCCCAGCAAATGTCATGGCAAAAATAACGGAGATTTCCAGATAAAAATGGCGAAAACAAAAGAACAAATGGATAGAGCACGGGCGAACATAGGCAGACGTGAGCGGGGTGTGTCGTCACACGGCCGCCTGCTTGTTGCTAATATCGATTGGAGACGGTGGCAGGGTCAGTCCTGCGTCTGATCCTGCCGCTGTACGGGCAGATGGGGGGGGGGGGGGGGTGAGGGAGGTGGGGGAGAAGCCTCTACTCAATCCTTGGGTCTTTGAGAAATTCAGCAAAGCTTCACGTTTTTTACAAGTGCTTTAGGCCTTTACGTGGTGCTCAAATATAATAGGATAGAAGAACAACAAGACTTACAGTTTACATTGATTCCAGAGAAATGTAGAGATTTTAACATCAATTCCAAACATTTCGACGTATATAGATAGACCCAAACGGAAAAGTATTTAATTTGCTAATTAAAAGTATGCCAATGGTGCTTATAAAAGTATTCCTATTTTTATTGTATAAGCTTTTTCACCAATAACTACAGCCTATTGTTTGGCTGAGTTGTCAGCCTATTGTTTCAGCCTATTCGAACAACGAGCAGACGATGATGTCACCGGTCAACCCGCGGTGTCTCATGGGAAGGCTCCAGCATTGTTGCAACAGCCGTGCCTGTCGTACAGCCACTGACCCGGAACGGTGCCATTGTGTCGGGGTATCAGTTTACCATTGTAATGGTGACAAACGTGGTCATACATGGCCATGGTTAATCAATGACCAGTTACAAACATGTTGATTGGTTAATTACTGGCCAAAAACCCCCTCCCCCGCCCAGTGACGTAACTGATCAACCTTGGGCTCGTGGCTCTCACCCTGAAAACATACGCATGATTTTACGATATCAAAAGTAGGGGAAATAAGCGACACTCTTATGTATTATGTATAATATTTAATTACTTCTTTCCAATTTTATTTTTTGTTAAAGAAATTACTTTTACCGGGTTATATAAAATGGCTGTTTGCTATTAATACACATACTGTTTGCTTCTTATAATCGTAAATATATTTTTAAAAGTGCACTATGCAACGAAGGGACGATCGCAATTTTAAATTTATACAGAACTTCAAAGTTCCTGACCTTTTTTTTCTAGCTTGATAGAATAGCTGCACAATCTACTTCAAACTTGCACCAACAGCAGCTTGGTTTCGTACTTTTTTGGGTTAGATTACACATCTCTTTCCAAAATAATTTTCAAACAGCGTCCCTTGTTTCAAGGGCTCGATTTATTTACTCAAACAGCCCGGGGACCTGAGACCTCGGGGACCCGAGACCTCGGGGCCATGAGACCTCGGGGCCATGAGACCTCGGGGACCTGAGACCTCGGGGCCATGAGACCTCGGGGACCTGAGACCTCGGGGACCTGAGACCTCGGGGACCTGAGACCTCGGGGACCTGAGACCTCGGGGACCTGAGACCTCGGGGACCTGAGACCTCGGGGACCTGAGACCTCGGGGACCTGAGACCTCGGGGACCTGAGACCTCGGGGACCTGAGACCTCGGGGACCTGAGACCTCGGGGACCTGAGACCTCGGGGCCATGAGACCTCGGGGCCATGAGACCTCGGGGCCATGAGACCTCGGGGACCTGAGACCTCGGGGACCTGAGACCTCGGGGCCATGAGACCTCGGGGACCTGAGACCTCGGGGCCATGAGACCTCGGGGGCCGGTGGACTTGTCCACCTCATTTACACGGTTGTTGCGCCACTGCCCCATCCCACTGACTTCTGTACAGAAGGATTGATAAGCTAGACAATTTTATTACAGAACTGCATCTAAAGAGCACCCTACTCCAGTTTTCTGGTATGTCTTAAAACTTGGATCAATGTTCATAGAACCAAGAGAAAGCAAGAAAGATAGATTGCAAAATCTTCACGGCGAAACAAGTCTTCCCGCAGCTTTATGGCACAAGGGTCAAAGGTCGGAGTGTTAGACGATACATTATCTCACTCGTGTCGTGCTGATGTGAGCACAGTTTCTGTAGGATGCGGTTAACTCACAGTTATGTTGATAATCTCACTAGAATTTTTACCACGACTGAGTCCATGACACAGTAGAACTTAAACACAAGACAGAAGTTGGTCTGACACAATATATCTATAGCTCAAATAAATGGCTCAATTGGAAACAGCCGACCGTGACAGTCAATCCTAAACCTGGCTCTTAGATTTGTTTAAACACTTTCATAACAAATCTATTTGGAACGTAACACCTTTAAATCTGCATCTTAAAACCAAAAAAGAATAACTAAAAAGATGCAACGACAAAAAATCTAGCAGACATATTTCTATTAGGTATCTGTAATATTAGGCTATATAAATGTGTGATTTGTGTCGTCGTTTATAACACTACCCTACCCAATTATAAATGTTGATCAACGCCTGTCACGTGATTTAACTTATTTATAGGAACCCCGGAAGCATCCACCACTTCCCCCCTCTCCTCAAACAACGAGAAATTTGCTAGGCCTAATATAAGAATGTTTTTTTTAATGGGAAGATTTATCATCTTAGAGTAACACACGTATCCCTCCTCGTTACTAATGTAAAAAAAATATCTGTGTTTTAAAAAATTAAGGTAGTTTTGTCTCTCTGTTAATAAGCGGGGTATAATATTTTTCTAACCTATCATGCCACCACATTTAACACAATGTAACAAAATGATATGCATAAACAACACCCCACATAACACAATGTAACAAAATGATATGCATAAACCACACCCCATATAACACAAAATGATAAGCCTAAACCCCACCCCATACAATACAAAATATGTCTAGAGCACAACCTCACCTTGTTTACCAAAAAATAAAAACATGCTAGACCTAAGTCACAACCCCAAGCTCTATATAACGTGTGCACAATACCCAACAAGCCGTCTATACTCACAGGTCAAACTATTCCATGTAAACAAAGCCCATCCACAGCCACATAGAACATACTGCGTCTTCCAGCTCACAAAGGGATAGAAGCCAGGTGTGTCTGGCAAAAAAATGTTTAATTTGTTTTTCTTTCTCTGGTTTCTTAAAAAACTCTCGCATAGGTACCCCGGCAGCAAGGAGGTGAGCAGCAAACATTACTCACCTGCCAGCCCTCTACACACGCGCGCACCCACGGACGGCTACTCGATAAGAATGCGATATGAGCGCGTTCAAACAACGGCCAGGTGGCACGCCGTATCGGCTGCACACGCAACACATCAGGTCGATGGAAAAAATCTCTTGTTCTGAGCACTGTTATCATAAGTACCCGGGAGGGGGAGGGTAAAATTGGATTATACATACATCAAATATGGCCAAAATACTACATAAATCTGGTATCTGAACATGCTGGCGAAATAAAAATATAGATCTCTCTAGATCTAGATCTAATTTACGAGAAAATTCGGCAGCAGATTTAGCTCTTTGTATAAGAATGACATCATGATAGCTACACTGTAGATGTCTACAGTGTACCTATCTACCGTTAGCAATATGTTTCTAAATTAAATATTTTCTTGTTTGATTCCCAGAGCCACTATTTGGTCTATCAATCATTCGTACGATAAAAGAAGATTGAGGCTAAAGAACAAACACAATCAAAAGGTGTTTGCTAGCTATTTTTAACAACGCGTTAATTTAAGCAGTTGGAAATCTTTGGATGGGATTTTTAATTTTACAGTTATCCCCCTTGATAAAATGCTTAGCAACCTATTAGGCTTTGCTTTAAAATGGCGTCTAAACAGCTAAATATTCAGAATGCTTGATAAAACATTTAAAATATAATAAAATAGAGTTTTTTTTATGGTAAATGATGGCGTCATATTTACAAAATGCAGCAGTGTCAGCGGTGTCAAAAGGTTTACCAAGTAGTTATTATACTCGTGATGATCGACCAAACCCTGTACTTCTAGCTTTAGAGCAGGAGCTCAAAATTTTTACTGAAAAAGTTAAAAAACAACGTGCCGGAGGAGCTCTAAGAATAACAGAGGATTCTCAAACAAAACTGTATGTTGTATATTTTATTGATTATAGTTATATAGTAGTTTAATTATTTTGTGTTTAAGAAACAAAACTTTTATACGTTATTGATTGGTTGGACCAACTAAATACTAATATTCTAGATTCTACTCTTAGCTGTACTAATCTACATTAGAGCCTATATATATATATATATATATATATATATATATATATATATATATATATATATATATATATATATATATATATATATATACATATATATATATATATATATATATATATATATATATATATATATATATATATATATATATATATATATATATATATATATATATATATATATAGGCCTATATATATATATATATATATGGCATATTATATGTGTGTGTGTGTGTGTAAAGAGAGAGACAGAGACAGAGAAATAAATTGAGATAAAATAAATATGTAATTTTTAAACAAAATCTTCTAAAAAAGACTAATGTGTGATAATTACTTTTTTCATTTAGTATAGGTTCTAATTGAAGTGAATTTTTATATAATATAGATTTGACCTTAATGCTTAATGGTTACTAAAATACTTAGTCAAGACCTAAATTAACAGACTAGTTTTGCTTAACTATTAAGTATTTTTTAAGATACAGATTTCTCTTCTTAATCTATAAACAACTCACTAAATTTTACAATAGTATGACATATTTTTGTCAAAAAGTTATTGTTACATTTTTAAACAATAACATAATATGCTGCCTTGTCATGCAGGAGTACCATGATTTTTGAAATATGGAACAAGTTTGAACCACGTCTGCCAGAAACATTTTTTCAAGAGAAGTTGCTGGAAATAGGAGATTTTTTGGTGTCGATGCAGGTCAGTGGGTTTTGAGAATTTTATTTTCTCTGAAATACTATCATTTATGGTTTTATTTATTAATTTTTAATTGTTTTAAAATCTTTGTAGGAGCATAGACTAGCTTTGAACCAATGCTATGAGCGTTATCTTCAAAAGTTTGAGGCTGTTAGCACAAGTGATGTGAATTCATTGAAGGAAAGTTTATTTGCTGGAGGCTTGAATTCATCCACTGCGATATTAACTGTAAGAACAGTTTTAAAATTCTAGAAAATTGCTTTAACTACAAACTCTAGCCTACATTATATTACAATCATGTTACCATGTTATCAATATTTTTAACCCTTTTGTGCCATAGGTTATTTAGCCAAGTTTTTTTTTTCTTCTTATTTTATATGTTGAGGAAATCATTTTGTAATCTTATAAATATTGCTAACAAATGCATATGTTACCTATCAAATTAAGGACAACTGAATGCTTCAAATAATTCTACAACTTTCAGTCTGAAACTTTAGTCTAAAATTATTAATAAATACATTTTTACATTTTATTTTTTAAAAAGATGAATAGAATAGCATACAATAACTATTTCGCTTAAGATAAAAATATATTAAATAGTAATTCACAACTAAATTTGTTATTGATTTTTTTTAAAAAGTGTGATATTGCCTTTTTCTTTTTATAAGAAAAAACTTTCTATAGTAAATTGATATAGGGTCTACATCTTTAGATTAGCTGAAGAGAAGCAGAAGTGATTATAACAATTTTAAAACATTGAGTTTTATGTAGAAAAGATGAAAATAAAATTGCTGGTGGAATTCTGAACAACAATCTTAATTGCATTTTGTTGCAAATCGATCACACTTATAAGTAATTACCAATTTTTGCTATATGTAGATCTACTGAGTAAGTCAATTTAAAAGTTCATTTGTGTCCTTTGTGATGCTAAAGATATTGAAGAATGTGAATCAAAACATTTAAAGAAGTTATGTATACAAAAACATGGACATTTAAATTTAAAATGAGTTTAAAATTCAAGTGATTATATTTAGGTGCGTGCACTGTTGGGTAAGAGTATCTGCAAGTATCAGGTGATCAAATTGTCAGATCCCAAATTACAGAGCAAGCTTGCTATTGCCAGATGTCTTCAGTGTTTAGAGCTGCTAAGGACAGTAACTCAGATTATACTGCCTAAAGAAAAACTCTGTTGGCTAGTATTTAATGGTAAGATAGATTTAACTTGTTTCCTCCTTTTGAGTGTTTAAAAATGTGTTTTTTAATAAGTTAAGTTAATGTCACTGGTCTTAAATAAAGCCTAACTCACATTTATATAAATTATAGTTTAAAGCTTGATGTAACAAATTTATAATGTAACATCTTAATTAGTCTAACGTATTCTTGTGTACAGGAACTGTCCATATCTACTGTATTTCAAGGCATCTGATGTCACTGGGGCGCTCAGCTGCTGTATGTTTTCTTTTAAACTTCCCCTGCTAATCTTTTGTTTGTTACAAGTTGTGATAAAACTTCATCTGTAAATCATTGTTAGGCAAACATTTCAAAGTGTGTATAAATGTCATCACTTTTTGTGATATCTAATTGTTGTAATTTCACTGGACCCCAGTTTGTATGTACTATGTATTTTAATCTGAAGTATGCAGATGGTTTGATTGTATTTGTGTTTTAAACTGTTTAGATACACCCATTAAACTGCTTAGATCCCCCATTAAACTTTTTAGATCCTTCATTGAACTGTTCAGGTGTTGGAGTTTTTACTGTGGGCATCAATGTGTATGGAGACTTCTATCCCTCTACTGACTGTAAAGTACTTGACATGGCGCAGCACGCTCTACACTGCGGTCTGCCAGTGTTACTATGACTGCAAGGACACAGAAAATGCAGAGGTAGGCAATAGAATCTGTTTATATCAACAGAAGATGTAATACAGGTATACAGGGTTAAGTCAATATAATCTCTTTATACCAACAGAAGATGTAATATAGGTATACAGGGTTCAGTCAATGTAATCTGTTTATACCAACAGAAGATGTAATATAGGTTTACAGGGTTCAGTCAATGTATTCTGTTTATACCAACAGAAGATGTAATATAGGTATACAGGGTTCAGTCAATGTAATCTGTTTATACCAACAGAAGATGTAATATAGGTATACAGGGTTCAGTCAATATAATTTGTTTATATCTACAGAAGGCTTATTACTCAAACATGTTTTGTAATGACATTAACAATTTGAGTTTGGCAAATTGTGCCGCATGCATTGAAGGGAGCATACAGGTGGTGCTATGCAGGTATAATGGAAATAGAAGCAGCAGGAATGGACAATTAAATCTGATAGGAATATATATAAAAAAATTTTTTCCAGAAATTTGCTCGCAGAGGTTTAAATAAAATAAGTGAACTCAGCAAGCTGGAAATGTTGAGCAGCAACCCACACAATCCAGTTGATGAGATGAGCTTTAGATCAGCCACCATCAGGGTAGGTGCTTTAGTTCAGACGCCATCAGGGTAGGTGTTTTAGGTCAGACACCATCAGGGTAGGTGTTTTAGGTCATACACCATCAGGGTAGGTGTTTTAGGTCAGACACCATCAGGGTAGGTGTTTTAGGTCAGACACCATCAGGGTAGGTGTTTTAGGTCAGACGCATAAGGGTTTTAAACATTAGGTCACTCACCATAAAGGTATGAGTTAATATTTAGATTAGCCATAATAAGTACAATTTAAGCTACAGTTTTTCAATTAGTATTTGTAAAATTAATAAAGACTATCTTCTCTATTAGATGGCAACAATGATCTTTAAAAGAACAGTTCTGGAGACTAGAAGAAAACCAAAAGGTGTTTTCAAACCAAAGACGAGAGCAAATTTTAAAGATGTTATCAATGTGAGTCAGTCAGGAATGGTATCTGAACAAACATGTCCAAACTTTTTTGTTTGTTGTACTTCTTCTTTTTTGGGTCTTTTGTATCTGTCAAGTTGAAAAGGACAAAAGTTGAAGAGGACAAATAAAAAATTAAAATTTTATAGTAAAATTTACTATGTACCATTCTTGACATTAAACCACACTAACTTACAAAAATTAGAAAAACAAGGAGTGTGGGAATCAACTCACTTCATTTATTCAGTCAAGTCTTCACTTTCAGCCACTTTCTTCTTTAAAATGATTTTTTTTTGCCGTCCAATTAAAATGATCTGGAATACTAAAGAAGTATTATTCTCCTACTGAAATAGTTGCCATGGCCCAGAACAAGCACAGAGAAAATGTTGGCAGAAATGTTTGAAGGCAGTGCTGCCCAGTTTCTTGCCATCCTTGAAGCTTTGAGCAGCAGCAACCGACGTGTGCTGCAGACCTCTCCCCCGGCGTCAGAGAATGATCCGGAGATTCTAGACGTTTTCTGTGAGATGATGATGGCAGCTGAGTACATCCTGTCTGCTGGCGCTGTAAACAAGTCGCACATTTCTCTCCACTCCTTGAGATTAGCAGGTGTTGTGACAGAAGGCTCACTCATCCAGATGGCCATTGAAGGTAGGTTCCCCCTCCCCCACCTCCCCACCCTCTGTAATCTGAGGTTTCATGGACATTAACAAGAGATACATTTTAACCCACCACTTTCCACCTCCCTGAAAAGCTAAGTTTTAGGTTAAAACCTATTTATTATGAACTTTTTAATATTTTAAAGAGCAGGCTTGATATTTAACTTATTTCTGTCAAAAAATTATTTCTCCTACATTTTTGTTTCTAAGAAATAGAATCCAATGTAAAGAATTAAAAGCTTCAAATGATTACGGAGGGAATGGTTGTTTTATAAATCATGTTATTATTTCAGGTGCTAATGGTGTGCCTTTAGAGTGAACTTATTGATGTTTATTTCAGGTGCTAATGGTGTGCCTTTAGAGTCAGTTGTTCGTCTCATGAAACTGGCCTACAGCTATGAACATTTTGATGTTTTTGAGAACTTGCTGTCTCCAGTACTTAATAAAATCAAGGTAATTAAAATTTATGGCCTACAACATTTTTATTTTTTTCTTCTGTCTGATGTGAGTTTACATGATTAATTTGACTGATTGTTATTTTTTAAGGAGTTTACAAATGAGAGATTTGTTTGGGAAGAAAAAGTTTTAGATCTGCTGAGCAGTTTTGTTAAGCTGAGGAAACTAAGGCCTGAGACAAGCCAACTGGGAATCAAACCCTCAAGTAAGTCTACTCAAAAACTTGGACTTTTTTAGATACAGAACAATTACTTTTTACTGATGTATTAGTCAAGTTTAATTCTTGAACTAATTCATTCAAAGTTTAACACACAATACCTTGACAAAATATGACTCCGCTTTAACAGGTGCGTCATTATCAGCCATCTCAGGGGATGACCTTGTTCGCGTGGCTGAAATTTTAATGACCATAATCAACGGAAACTTTGAGGTAGTTTTTTTCATTTACTTAATTGCTGTAAAAAAATTTTTTAATATTTTGAGGAAAATTCCAAAAATAAAACATGACACACAAGCTACATCAATCCTGCAGCTTTTATGAATGATTTCAGAAAGACAAAATTGATGTGGACATTTTTGTCGATGCGATGAACTTCTTGTGGAACAGATGCAAGCTGATGTTCCAGAAATACCAGACTGGACCTGTAGACAATCCCAAATTTTTACAGAAAATGGTCAGTCCCAGCAAGGTTAGTATCAGTGACTCAATGCGTGACATAGAATAAAATATTTTCCCCTTACAACACATTGTTTCTGACACACCTATCGAGTTTTTAACATCCCCATTTTTTATATCTTTAAAGCATAGAAAAAATTGTAGATATTGACAACTGAAAAATAGATTTTAGCTTATATGCCAATTAACACAGTGAATTTGAAAGTACAATCCTCTGTCATTTTTGGCCAGTGCTGATTAGAGAACATTCAGTAATTTTGGCACATTGGCAAACTGGTTTTCATTAATGATTTAACATTTTATAATGGGCACTTGATCAGATGTTTGGTTCCCTTTTCAAAACAATATAACTTAGTTGATAAGTTGATCTATTTTTTTAAACCATGCAGCAATAGCTCAGGTTAAGTTAGTTGTATACTTTGTAAATACCGAGGTTTTTTAAGACTCATCTGATCAAGTATATTTATTTTGTGTTGATGTTAAAATACAATGTATATAAAGAAAAATATAAATAAATTAAAAAAATTCATTTGACCATCCTTTACCTTCAGAGTACATTTAGTTCCACAAATATCAAGCCATTTTCTGACAGAGAGGAAAATGAAGGAGTTCAGTTTTTAAAAATTTGCCATTCCTTTTGTTCTTGTTGTAACTTTTTTTTCTATTGGAGTTTGGACAAATACGACTTTCACAAATAGTACACACTTATGTAATACCATTTAACAGCACACACATATGTATCACCATTTAATAGGACACACATATGTATCAACATTTAACAGCACACACAAATGAAGCAACATAAATAGAACAATTGTATAAAACTTTGCTTGTCTTCTGTATCTCTCACTCTCTTGTCACACACACAGTAAGACACACGACCCACACTTGAGACCCACACAAGACTCAAGGATTCTCACATGAAACCCTCACATATGACTTGACCCTCACAGATTGGACCATCACACAAACCCACAAACATAACCCAAACATGATTCTCACATGATTCTCTCTTTAACAGTAGATAAAGGTTAAGGTTTTTCAAATTTATTTAATGTTCTTAATGTTTTGTTAATTGTTATCCATGCTAAAGTTATTTGAAATAATTTGAAATAACAATTTTTTAATAAAACCAATATTAAATTGTTTAAAATATTTTTGATAAGTATAAATGTATAAATGATTCAAGAAATAGTTATAAGAAATTATTTCATTATAAACTGTAATGACTAGTTGCATTATAGAGAACAAAAGAAACTGATTCAATGAAGACATCCTTAATTCTTGATGCAGGCCTATTTACAATGTTTTGTTTTTAAATTTTGCTTGTACTGTTATGAAACTGAGACTTGATATTGTTTGTACCCATCAGTGGATGTTCCTGCTAGAAACTGTACAAAAAGCCATGGACTGGTGTGGCATAGGGTCAGTGGACCCAACTATGGCAGCAGAGGTCACAGTTCGGCTGGCCATGGCTTATGAAAGCAGTGCACAGCTGGAGCAGATAGATGGTAAAGTTGTCAGATTTAACCTAAACCAATATTTATGTTAGAGGCATCACAGTTTTAGCCTAAACCAATATTTATGTTAGAGGCATCACAGTTTTAGCCTAAACCAATATTTATCATTAACATCAAGAAACAATGTTTACATTTATGTTAGAGGCATCACAGTTTTAACCTAAACCAATATTTATCATTAACATCAAGAAACAATGTTTACATTTATGTTAGAGGCATCACAGTTTTAACCTAAACCAATATTTATCATTAACAACAAGAAACAATCTTTACATTCATTTTGGAGGCATCACAGTTTTAATCTAAACTAATATTTATCATTAACAACAAGAAACAATCTTTAGCAATAATTTTTCTGTTGCTAATGCTTTTAAGGAATTTGCATCTGTTATGTATTTAATTTTTAATACTTACATCTAATTCTACATAGCTGATAGTCAAATACAAAATTTACATGGTATATAGTCAATATACCACACAAGTCTTGTATTTTGTGTAGATGCCAATTTAATTCTTTAAATACTATTACGTGTGTGTTTAAGTTTTGCCCTGATGAAATGCAAAAATTTCTTTTAGATAAATCAAAAGAATCCAAGACAAATATGACAGACTTTTCTGACCCTCCAGCCCAGGAGTCAGCTGAAGAAAGTGGCCCATTTTTTCTACATCACGGAGCAAAGAGCTCATCAAAAGTTTACCTGAAACAGGTGACAAAAAAAATCTTCTAAACTGATGAAATATTTTAAACCTCCATACGGCTGAAATAAATCATTAAAATATATTTATATGTACTTTAATTTTAGGCTAAAAAAGTTCTTGAACTTGGCCTAAAAAATGTCAATTATGCCAGGAGAATTGTAGCTACACATGACGGAAAACACATAGCAGATATCAGTTGGGCCAAGGTGAGTCAGTGAGCTGGTTCTTAGACTGACCACCTCAGTTATTGTTGCGTTAAATGCTAATTTACATTAAATTGTTTGATAAATAAAAAGATTAAACTTTGTACAAAAAGATCAATAGAAGTCAATGATTAAACTCATAACCCCCCCCCCCCCCATCCCCACCTCTCACCCCAGGACCTAAACCCAGAAATATTTGCTTCTGATGGGCCAGTAGAGAAAAATAAAGAAGGGGAGATAACTATTGATGCTTTGATGCCCCCAAGCATGCAAGGCTCTGGAATAACAATTGCAAACACTGTTAAAGATCTGCACCTGGAAATGATTTTGATGTACAATCGTGTCTGTTTGAAATTGGAAGCTTTTGTTTCAGGTATATTAACTTTTACTCTGTTTAAAGGCATAGGTTTTTGGTTATTTATTGATAAGTGACATTAATAATGTATTTTTTTCCTAGATATGACAAAATCTGATGCAAAACAAAAGAGAAAGTCCAAGGTAAAAACCACTTAATTTTTTTTTGGAAAAAAATTTTAAGTCTTAAATACTTTAACTTGTTATTATAAACATTTTTCCTAAAAAAATATGTGCTTTGTGCATATTATTTTCATTTGTTAAAATACTGATATAAATTCTTATTTGTTTTAGGAAATTAAAAGCTCCCCCGAAGAAGCAGATAAAATAGATATGAAAAATTCTCAAAAGAATTTTCTTGCTAAGGCTCTGTTTACAGCACAACAGGCTGTCTTGAGAGGAACAAACCAGCTACCCTCACAAGAACAAAGGAAGTTGTTAGAGGTAGGTTAAAAAGTTGGAGTTCAATATCCAACTCATGTCATATAAAGTGGAAAACAAAAGTTGATGTTTCACCCTATCTTTCTATTTTACTGTTTCTTTTGATACCACAGTGCTTAAGTTTAATTTATTACAGGAATCAGTCAACCTTATCCAACGCTATCAAGCAGATGAAAGAAGGATATACATAGAAAACTCTGGAACACAGGAAGTAAAAGTAGCCAAGGTGCCACCTCCCCCTGTTGTGATTTGTCGCACCGACACCTTCATGGTGTTTAAACCAGCACCGTTTATATCCAGTGCTAATGAAAAGGTCAGTTCTAACAAATATGTTAACAAATAATAATTTTAAAAATTATCATTCTCAAATGTAATTTCTTTTTTAAATTGGTGTTTGTATAATGTTCATTTTAAGTGATTAGAATGCTAGCTTAGAAAAAAATTCTTTTACCACTATTACAGTAATTAATCTGCTTTTTAAATTATTTCTGTAGCTTAACACTGCAAAATTGACATTGTTTACATTAATTCAGCAATAATTAATAGCATATTCAAAATTCTTTAGGTACCTTATTTGAAATTTTTTAGGCAGCTTACTAGAGCATATTTGAAATTGTTTAGATATTTTACTATAGCAAACTTGAAATTTTTTAGGCAGCTTACTAGAGCCTATTTGAAATTGTATAGGTATTTTACTATAGCAAACATGAAATTCTTTAGGTAGCTTACTACAGCATATTTGCAACTGATGCATCTGGACCAAATGCCAAGGCCAGACTGAGTGATTATAACTTTCCAGGAACAGGAGAGCAGGTGACCAACTAATTTAACAGCCCCACTTATTTTACTTTTATCTTTATTTAATATATCTGCTCCTGTGAATTAACTATTACAATTTTTCTTTTAAATATAATTTGTGTACAAAAATTGTCTCCCTTACCTCCACATGATAGGTCCCTGCTGTTGACTGTGAGTTGAAGGTCTACAACCTCCAACCAAATTCACGCTATGTTTTTGCTGTGGCTGCCTACACAGCAGATGGTAAACTTATTGGTGATGGCATTGGTGACACCAGTCGACCTTTGCTGGCCTACCATCCGTTACCAATTCTCCTGGGGTGGGGATACTTGGCACAGGTTAAGTTATTTTTCAAGAATCATTTTTTTAATTACTTGTAAGGTATTGATTAACAATGAAAAATAATTGGTTTGATCCTTTGTTGATCTTAGTGTGGAATTTTATGATACATCTTTTTGTGTATTTAAAATACCCTTGTACAAAACTAAGGAAATAGCAATAAAATCATTTTTTAAATTTATCATGCCATTATTTCTGACATGCAAAAAAAAAAAAAATCAATGTTTATGTCATTGACAGCTCTCCTACCAAGTGGGTTGCTATGACATCACCAAGCAGGCTTGCAGTGTACTCTGGAATTATTTTGTGAAAGAGCCACAACGGCCAAACAATGAGGAGGAAAAAAAAGATACCAAGTTACTTTTATTTAGGTAAAAAAAAAAGACAATATAATATGTGACAAGGTGCTAAATATTGCACACAGTTTTTCTTCTATTAACCATTTTAATATGTCTCTCTTAGCATTAATTAATTTAATTGTGTTTATTAAGATTAATAATTTTATTTAATTGAGTTGTTTTTGTTAGCATTATTTAAGTTTAATTTAGTAAATTTTAAATTTTTAGTTTGCACGAGAGAGCAGTTTGTGTGTCATCTCCCATTGTACTGCACCAGTTTTTGAGCACAGTGTTCATGCTGTGTGACGTACAAACAAAGGAAGGTCAGCTCTTCTGTGATGCCATCTGTGAGAAAGGTCCTTTGTTCAAGAATCAGGTGCGGCGCCTGCATCAGTGTGAGCAGCTACTGGTTGCTGTAGAGATGGCTGGCTGGTTGAATGAGTCCAGTCTAGCGCTGCAGGCCGTGGTTCAGATCTATGGGTTGTTGGCACCAATCATTTATCACAAGATCCCCACCCTGGCTGTCATACAGGTGAGTCCAGTCTAGCGCTGCAGGCCGTGGTTCAGATCTATGGGTTGTTGGCACCAATCATCTATCACAAGATCCCCACCCTGGCTGTCATACAGGTTTCTCTAGACATTTCAACTTACAGATTTTCATTACACTGTTCAGCGTATGGTTAGCTTTAAAATTATTAGACCTTTAAGGCTAATTATTTAACTAATAAGATATTAGCTAAAGATATTTAACTGTACGTGGAATAGTGTGGTTGAATGTTAGAGTGCATGAAAGCCAACCTGGGCTTGAGGCCTTAGGATGTCCCTGAGTGGCTGGGCATAGAATCAACCAGGCTATCCTTTCACGTTCAGAGGAGATGAACTCAACCATGTAACTTAGTTCTATATCTGTGATGGGAAATCATTGCCTTAAACAGTTTACAAACACTAATTGGACTTGAATTTTTTAAAACAGATATTAAAAAGATGTCATGCAGTCTTACAAGAAGTTCCAGCTGGGCTTATACAGAGGAGGCAAGGACTGACTCGGGACAGCCTAATCCACATGATAGCTTGCATTATTTACACCTTGGCAAAGGTACTTCTTTAAAATGGCTATGATTTATCCATGAGGTTCAATAGAATTATATTTATTTATTAGAGCCGAAGCTATCAGGTTAAATAGAAAGTATTCACTTGGTCAGTACAACTTAAACTTTCAATGTTGTCAAACAGAACAACCATACTAAATGTCTGATATTATAATTTAGTCATTTATTGTCCTTAAAAACCTGGAGCTTAAAAAATGCTGACAAAAATCTTCATGACAGTCTCTTAGGTCCTGGGGTCAGAATGTTGCTGCCAGGAATATTATTGAGGATGGGAAAAGTTTATTGGCAGATGAAGCAGAAAACAAATCGGCTGACACAAGCAAGATGGAGGAGACATTATCGGGTAAGTTGTTAAAAATATACCTCTTTGTTTTTTGCCTATTTAAAAAACATAGGCCTACAGTGTGTATATTTTCATTCCATTGTGTCAGAATATTCACAAACCTCTAATAAACTTCTGTAGCATCTGGTGAAAGGGAGATAATAAGTGGCATCTTGAGATTGTTTGGGCTAATAATTAATTTCCCGGGAAAAGGCTTATTGCATGGATGCTATCTTTTTGACAGTTTTAACCAATAAACTATAATGTATCCACTTCAAACATGATGATTGTGTAATAGAAGAAACATCAATTTGCATGCCAATAATTTCTGTTTCTTTTTAAAAATTTTCCAGAAAAACAACAAATAAATAAAGGGAAGCCACCTCTTCCAACTGCTGTGAAAAAACCTTCAAGTAAAGAAGATTTAAATGAGTCTATGAATGAAGAACTCAGTGCTTTGGAGTCTCATATGCTTAGATTAACAAGAGCTGGTTTGTTATTATCTTGTTATTTTGATTATCCAACCTCAAATACATTTATTTATATCCACATCTTTTTTAAAAAAAAAAAGCTCATTAAGTCATAATTTTTTTACACATAACATTTTCAAATGCCAATAATTGTATGTTGATAGCGGCATCAGAGTTTGAGCTCACTGGCAATGAGAATCCAAGTATTTTGCATTCCTACATCGCATGTCTGCCCAGTAGTGTGGCCTATAAAGAAGGTGACTGTTTTAGTTTCTTACAAATCTTCAAAGCATTATCTTTATAACAGATTTTCTCTAGTTAAAATATATTTTTTCCTTGCACTGAATGCAAGTTTTCATGTATCATCTGATGCAAGTTCACCGATATTAGCTAAATGTTTTAAATGTTGGAAAATGTGTTGATATCTAGTAGCTGAGCTTAGTGGACTATTGTTATATTAAAGACTAAGACAGGACCTAACATGTTTTATTTCCCCAGAACAAGATATTAGAAATAACTTGCCATTTCCTTTTCATGAAATATTGGAAAAGCGTCTAGATCATATGATAAAAAAATGTTTTCTAACTCAGTTGCCATTTTTCTAGTGTCAAAATTCAAACGTAGACAACGATTCTTGGAATTCCTTGTCCAGGTGGCTCAAAAAGGTTTGACTGAAGGCATTCTAGACCAGGTGCAATCCTGGTGTGAGGATGGCTTTCAATGGCTAGAAAAGTGAGTTCCAGCTATCCCCTGTTGGTCAACATTTTTAGTTGTTTTATATTTTATCTAGAGTTTATCTTAAGAAGAAGCAATACATCTGTTTGAAATTTATCTATAGTTTGCTTTAAGAAGAAACAATACATGTGAATGAAACATTTTTTTGACAGACGTAATGAGGGCATAATTGGGCAGAGCTCAAGCGCGTCTAAAAAACAATTGACTGATAATGGGGCAGACAAGTTTGCTGCAACAATGACAGAGTACAGCAAGGCCAAAGTATGAGTTTCATGCTTGATATAAATCTCTTGTTAAGTATGAGTTTATGCTTGATAGAAATCTCTTGTTAAGTATGAGTTTTATGCTTGATTGAAATCTTTTTAAAAAATGTTCATGCATCTTTAGGTATGTTTTTTACACATGTTTGAAATCTCTTAAAAAGTATATTTTTTTCTTCATGATTGAAATCTCTTGAAATAAAATGTCCAGGCATCTTATGAACATTCTAGGCAGATGTATATACCCATTGAATATATTTAGCTAAAAGTGCTATACACCCACTCTCTGAATGCATGCATACAACTCCACAAATCTCAACATCTTTAAACATGTTATAAAAAAGGGTTGTTAAAAATAGCATAGGACAGGTACAAATAGTGCTTTGTTTTGTTACAAAGGAAAAGCCTGTTTAAAACTGTTTTGTTTTGTAACAAAGGAAAAGCCTGTATAAAACTATTTGTTTTGTATTGTTACCAAGGAAAAGCCAGTTTAAAACTATATGTTTTGTATTGTTACGACGGAAAAGCCTGTTTAAAACTATATGTTTTGTTTTGTTACAAAGGAAAAGCCTGGTGCTGTTAAGAAACAAGTGGGACCACCAGTAGTAGTAAGAAGACGAAGCAAATACAAGGTAGGCTATGTAGCAGCCTTCATTCTCTGGGATGGGGAAAGTTTTTTTATATATAAGCAATGAAACAATCAATAATTTTGGTTTGAGTTTTTAATCATTTCCATCATTAAAATTAAATGACTTTCAGAAAAATTAGGAAAAAATGCTTTTAAATCAATAAGCTGAAATAATTTTAAAGTGTGTACAGTCCCTAAAATAAGGTTTTTTAATCAATAAGCTGAAATAATTAAGATTGTTCTGTACAGTCCCAGAAGAAACGTTTTTAAATTTACGAGCTGAAATAATTATAAAAATTTTGTCCAGTCCCTGAAGAAATGTTTTTAAATTAACGAGCTGAAATAATTAAAAAATTTTGTCCAGTCCCTGAAGAAATGTTTTTAAATTAACGAGCTGAAATAATAAAAAATTTTTGTCCAGTCCCTGAAGAAATGTTTTTAAATTAACGAGCTGAAATAATAAAAAATTTTTGTCCAGTCCCTGAAGAAATGTTTTTAAATTAACGAGCTGAAATAATTAAGAAAGATGTTGTCCAGTCCCTGAAGAAATGTTTTTAAATTAACGAGCTGAAATAATTAAAAAATTTTGTCCAGTCCCTGAAGAAATGTTTTTAAATTAACGAGCTGAAATAATTAAGAAAGATTTTGTCCAGTCCCTGAAGAAATGTTTTTAAATTAACGAGCTGAAATAATTTTAAAATTTTGTCCAGTCCCTGAAGAAATGTTTTTAAATTAACGAGCTGAAATAATTAAAAAATTTTGTCCAGTCCCTGAGGGTGACCAGTAGCATGAGTGACACAAGCAGGAAGGAACAGGAGGACAAAGAGTTTCAGGTGAGATTTGTGTACTCACCTTTAGCACCTGACTACAACAGGTGAGCAGGAGGACAAAGAGTTTCAGGTGAGATTTGTGTACTCACCTTTAGCACCTGACTACAACAGGTGAGCAGGAGGACAAAGAGTTTCAGGTGAGATTTGTGTACTCACCTTTAGCACCTGACTACAACAGGTGAGCAGACATTTACGTACTCACCTTTAGCACCTGACTAAAACAGGTGAGCAGAGATTTGTGTACTCACCTTTAGCACCTGACTAAAACAGGTGAGCAGACATTTGTGTACTCACCTTTAGCACCTGACTAAAACAGGTGAGCAGAGATTTGTGTACTCACCTTTAGCACCTGACTAAAACAGGTGAGTAGACATTTGTGTACTCACCTTTAGCACCTGACTAAAACAGGTGAGCAGAGATTTGTGTACTCACCTTTAGCACCTGACTAAAACAGGTGAGCAGACATTTGTGTACTCACCTTTAGCACCTGACTAAAACAGGTGAGCAGACATTTACGTACTCACCTTTAGCACTTAGCACCTGACTAAAACATAGGGACAACTGTTTGTTGTTGCAGGCCATTGAGAAACTTTCAGTTGTGTTTGTGGAGAGATACCAACTTCAGCAGCGGCGTGCAAGGCTGAGGAAAATTTGTGCTGACGAGATGCCTTGGCTGAGCCAGGTAACAAACTTCACATTGTGGGGATGTCTGGGATGAGAAGTGGAACCAGTCTTTCAGCAAACATCTTTTACCAATCATCTTTTACTAATCAACATTTATCAATCTTAATCAATCTGCATTCATTAGTTATTGTCAAACAATAGGCTCTCCCATGCATTCTAATATATAGAAACCAACCCTGTAATGATGAGGGGGGATAGTGTTAAATTTGTTGATGAAAAACCTTTCTCCTCTAAACCTGTGATATTGTTTACAACTATTTCAGCTGAACCTGGTTCAGGGACTGTGCCATTTCTCTAGTCTGGTTGAAAAGATGGAGATGAAGGAGAGAATAATTTGTAAAAATTACTGCCAGTATCAAAGGTCAGTCTTGCAATTTTACAAGCCCATAGGTCAGTCTTGCAATTTTACAAGCCCATAGGTCAGTCTTGCAATTTTACAAGCCCATAGGTCAGTCTTGCAATTTTACAAGCCCATAGGTCAGTCTTGCAATTTTACAAGCTCATAGGTCAGTCTTGCAATTTTACAAGCCCATAGGTCAGTCTTGCAATTTTACAAGCCCATAGGTCAGTCTTTGTCAGTGACATGATTGAGTGGTGTTTAGAGATTATTCCAATGTTATCATTGTGTAGAGATTATTCTAATGTTATCATTGTGTAGAGATTATTCTAATGTTATCATTGTGTAGAGATTATTCCAATGTTATCATTGTGTAGAGATTATTCTAATGTTATCATTGTGTAGAGATTATTCTAATGTTATCATTGTGTAGAGATTATTCTAATGTTATCATTGTGTGGTACAGGATAGATTTCCTGCCCCAAGAATGGTTCTCTCTGGACACAGCGGGTGCGATGGTGGTTGGCTGGCTGGGGGGGCCTGTCAAAAACCAGGACTTCACCACCATGCTGCAGAGCACAAGCACACGAGGTTCCAGAGCTTTTGAAAAGGGTGGCGTCACCGGGCTGGAAGCTGCTGCAGCCTCTCTCACTGGTACTGGCTGTTGTCTAGACTGGCTGTTGTGTTGTCTAGGCTGGCTGTTGTCTAGACTAGACTGGCTGTTGTTTTGTCTAGACTGGCTGTTGTTTTGTCTAGACTGGCTGTTGTCTAGACTGGCTGTTGTCTAGACTGGCTGTTGTGTTGTCTAGACTGGCTGTTGTCTAGACTGGCTGTTGTGTTGTCTAGACTGGCTGTTGTCTAGACTGGCTGTTGTGTTGTCTAGACTGGCTGTTGTCAAGACTGGCTGTTGTCTAGACTGGCTGTTGTCTAGACTAGCTGTTGTGTTGTCTAGACTGGCTGTTGTGTAGACTGGCTGTTGTCTAGACTGGCTGTTGTGTTGTCTAGACTGGCTGTTGTGTTGTCTAGACTGGCTGTTGTGTTAACTAGACTGGCTGTTGTCTAGACTGGCTGTTGTCTAGACTGGCTGTTGTGTTGTCTAGACTGGCTGTTGTGTTGTCTAGACTGGCTGTTGTGTTGTCTAGACTGGCTGTTGTCTAGACTGGCTGTTGTGATGTCTAGATTGGCTGTTGTGTTGCCTAGACTGGCTGTTGTTTTGACTAGACTGGCTGTTGTTTTGTCTAGACTGTCTGTTGTCTAGACTGGCTGTTGTCTAGACTGGTTGTTGTCTAGACTGGTTGTTGTGTTGTCTAGACTGGTTGTTGTTTTGACTAGACTGGCTGTTGTTTTGTCTAGACTGGCTGTTGTGTTGTCTAGACTGGCTGTTGTGTTGTCTAGACTGTCTGTTGTCTAGACTGTCTGTTGTCTAGACTGGCTGTTGTCTAGACTGGTTGTTGTCTAGACTGGTTGTTGTGTTGTCTAGACTGGTTGTTGTGTTGTCTAGACTGGCTGTTGTTTTGTCTAGACTGGCTGTTGTGTTGTCTAGACTGGCTGTTGTGTTGTCTAAAGTATGAGCTACATTACCTGTTACCCTTTTGTCCATCTCTAGGTGCCCCAATGTCTTTACAAAACCTACAAACGCCAAGAACAGAAGACTCACAATTTACTCTCAAGTCTGAGAAGAATGTATTTCTAGCGCTGGCCCTGATAGATGAGAACTCTTTAAGTACTTCAACCACAGTATCCATTTTGAGATCAACTTTTGCCTACATAAAGCGAGCATTAGTATGTCTTATATTGCTATACTTACTATACTAATATACTTTTTACTTAATCCTGTAATGATTTTAATAGTATTTATTATAAAGCATATGGCCTTGTTAATGAATCAATGCATTTAATTTTCTCTTTCTTCCCATAATTAGCAAAAAATAAAACATTTAGTTTCATGTTTAAAAATAGAAAACACCATTTATGTAAATAAAAGGTTTTTTGATTTGCCTGTATTAGGTTTTAGCACATAGAGGGCAGCACTGGACTTTGCTTCAGAATGAAAGTAGAGAGTTATGGAACTGTGCCCACACTGCCCTACTCCATGCATACAGCCCCATCGCCAGGCCTGGCAAGGAGCCAGGGCTGGTCAACTATGATGTGTTACGTAGTCTCATATGGGAGCCTTTCTATGTGGCTTCAGACTGTCTGCTGGACATGCTGGTCATTCTTCAAGTTTCTCTGGAAAAACATGCAGCTCGTGTAAGCTTTTGATACATTCACTGACTTGAAAATTTTCTTCTAACTTGTAAATGGTAACTTGTTTAGTTTTCAATTATTTTCTAAATATTGATTGAAGCATAAAATTGTTTTCTAAAAGATAGATTTGACTGGTGAAGGAAAACTTTATTATTTGACAGGCCAGAAGCAGAGGAAAAGTCTTGGGCTCACTATTTGATTCATGGGCAGGAGACATACAGTCTGAGAAAGGTGGTGCAAGCTTAAAGTTTGATTCAAGAATGGATGACAGCAGCATCGTAGACATGCAGTGGATCAGAAAATTTGTTCTTCGCACATTAGAGATGTTGTACCTCCAGCAAAAATGGGAGAAGCTCACCGACCTTGCCCTTCGATTTAATGCCCTCACAAAGTTAGTAGCCACAAAAGATAAAAAGTTTTCTCTTTCTTTGAGAAGCTGTTTTTATTCTTTAAAAAAATCAAATGCTTTTTTTTCAGCAATCGTTATGCCGAGCAAGTCATTCCTTTGATGGTACAAGCCCAGAGGAGTATAGAAAAACGAATAGCGTCTGTTGATGGTCCTCGCCCCCCACAGCCCCACTTTAAAAACTTGAGTGCCCAACTTGGCAAGGTGTTAGAAGCCAAAGACTATCTCAAGGCCCAGCTTCAGCTTCAGATTGAGCCAAACTCTTTAGCCCAGATCCAGCCTGGAGCTCAGATTGACCCCATTGGTCATGGAACTTACACCCGTAAGTTGACATCTTACACCTGATCTCATATCATTTGGGTAGTCATCTTATACCTGATCTCATATCATTTGGGTAGTCATCTTATACCTTATCTGATATCATTTGGGTAGTCAGGAAGCCACAGTTCATTTGTTGCCATTTAATATAATTGTTTAAAGTATAATTATCTGTCTCTGATTTCAGAAGAGGATGCCTTCCGCCTGTCCTCAGTCCCCCTGGATGTAGACCTGAGCCTGGCCACAATGCGTGAGACCCTGGCTCAGTCCCACTACACTGCCAGGGCCCTGCAGCACAGCCGCAAGCTTCTGTGTATATACCTGGCTGGACAACAGAATGGTCAGTCGCTTGAGTCCATCAAATGTCATACTGGCTCATTTAGTTCTTTAAGTACTTCCAAATAATTGATATTTTAGCTGGTTGCTTTTGGTCATTGGATGTTTGAAAACTTAGAAACATTGAATAAAAATCACATCTTTACAAATAGACAAGAATGAGTTGCTGTGAATAGTTAGATCATTTGAGAAGAATTTGCAAAACAATCTTTCCAAAATCTGTTCTGTGTTCTTTAAAACACACTAATTATTTTAAAAATGTAAGCAACAACAAAAAAACCATGCTCTAAGGTAGCTTGTTACCTATGCTTATTAGTGTCTGTTGATTACCAGTGGTCAGTGTTAAGTAGATCACCAGTGGTCAGTGTTAAGTAGATCACCAGTGGTCAGTGTTAAGTAGATCACCAGTGGTCAGTGTTAAGTAGATCACCATTGGTCAGTAGTAAGTAGATCACCCCTGGTTAAGTACTGTAATCTGCTTGTTAAAATAGGTTTTTCATATGTGATTACAAAAGTATCTTGTTTCAGTCCTATGTGATTACAAAAGTATCTTGTTTCAGTCCTATGTGATTACAAAAGTATCTTGTTTCAGTCCTATGTGATTACAAAAGTATCTTGTTTCAGTCCTATGTGATTACAAAAGTATCTTGTTTCAGTGCAAGAGTTCTCCCAGAGCCGCGATCTGTCTAATGTAAATTTCAAGATGATATCTGGACAGTCCCACACACCACTGCCCCCAGATAAGATGACATGTGACTTCAGTAGTGAAAATGACATACAAATGTCACCTTTACCCAAATCTCAATTAGATAAAGTCATCAGTTCATATGAGAAAACTATAGGTAAAATTTGGCTTTGTCCATTGTGTATTTCTTTTTAGAGCTGTCAATTTTTTTCAGATTTATTCACAAAACATTTTTTAATCCAACTCAGAAATTCTAAAAGCTAAACACATGAAAGGATTGTCTGCACAAGCAATGCATGAACTAGGAAACATTTTCTTTCATTCTAAAAATACCAGGTAACAAATATTATTCAAATAAACTAGTTTTATATTTAGAAAAATTATGAGAAACGTTCATCAAAGTATAGGTGTTACAGTGAGATGAACCAACATATTTGATATTTTCTTACAAACTTTAAATGTGTTGTTTTACAGTTATTCTAACATGTAGAATAATTGTGTTTGACAGTTGTTTGTTTTCTCGACAGAGCTGCATTCAAATGGTGGCGCAGTTCTCTGGACACAGTTTTGAACATGACTGACTCCCTTTATACGTGGCGACAACAGCTACAAGACCAAAATGACTTGAGTGCTTATTTTTTAGACAGATGTGGAATATGGGGTTGTATCCTTGGTGGGGTGCTTGCATCCAATATAGCTCAGTAAGTTTTTACTTTTCAAATATAGGAGTGACAGTTGAATTGATTAAATAACTCTTATGATTAGTTTTGGCATTCTACTGGGAGTGCAGCTATTCTGGAGGCTATTAAATGTGTGTTACAATACACTTCTACTGTCAGGAAGATATTTAAATATGTGTCACACTGCTATACTTTTACTGTGCTAAGATTTAATAAACTTGAACATTTCTGTAAATTCCAAAAAACCATTATTCCTTGCGTACAACAAATTAAGTGACACAATTTAAATATTGTTCTCAGTACTTGACTGTCGTTTTTTTTTTAAAATAATTTCTTCGTTCAGTTCCTACATTGTGGAATGAAGCATGATTTGATTAATCTTGTTCAAATTTTCTGAGATTATAGCTTAAGAAATATTAAAATTTGCTTGTAATGTTTTGTAACATGATCCTTATTCCAGGTACATTATAACTTTAGATGCAGACTTAAAAACAGCATGCTGCTTTCTGTCTGGATATTTGTTTAAGGTAAGAAATAAATTCATGCCCATCGCCTTATTTAAGTTTTTAAGTTTTTTACTTGTTTTTTAAATGAGTAACTTGGACATACATTGTATTTAATGTACTGAATAATTTTTAAAAAATTTTCACTTTTATATGTTTTTGAAATAATATAAACATTTAAACGTAAAAAGTGCTTGTCTCTAATTCTTTAGACATTTCTCAAAAAGCAAGGATAAATTGGATGATTTGTTTAATTGTGTAAGGTGGAATTAGGCCATCATGTTGTTTGGCTGTTTAGCTTTTAATTGTTCTATGTGAAAAAATTTTAATTACTTTTGTTCCATTTAACAAAGTTTAGCTTTTGATTGTTTAATGTGAAAGATTTTAATTACTTTTGTTCCATTTAACAAAGTTTAGCTTTTGATTGTTTAATGTGAAAGATTTTAATTACTTTTGTTCCATTTAACAAAGTTTAGCTTTTGTGAAATAATTTGATTACTTTTGTTCCATTTAACAAAGTTTAACTTTTGTTCCATTTCTAGGCATTGTTTCGTGCCAGCCTGCCACATCCAACCAAAGACATCGAGTATGTACTGTATGACATAGGCCACAACTCGGAGGTGACAAACTTGATTCCTGGGATTGATTTAATGTCTGACAGATTTCGCTGTGACGGACGACAGGTGGTTGCTGCCCTACATTTAACCATTGAGGAACTACACAGGGCAGAGCACAACATCTTTGTAGGTCTCGTAGTTGTCTCTGTAGGTCTCGTAGTTGTCTTTGTAGGTCTCGTAGTTGTCTTTGTAGGTCTCGTAGTTGTCTTTGTAGGTCTCGTAGTTGTCTTTGTAGGTCTCGTAGTTGTCTTTGTAGGTCTTGTAGTTGTCTTTGTAGGTCTCATAGTTGTCTTTGTAGGTCTCGTAGTTGTCTTTATAGGTCTCGTAGTTGTCTTTATAGGTCTCATAGTTGTCTTTGTAGGTCTCATAGTTGTCTTTGTAGGTCTCGTAGTTGTCTTTATAGGTCTCGTAGTTGTCTTTATAGGTCTCATAGTTGTCTTTGTAGGTCTCATAGTTGTCTTTGTAGGTCTTGTAGTTGTCTTTGTAGGTCTCATAGTTGTCTTTGTAGGTCTCGTAGTTGTCTTTGTAGGTCTCATATTGTCTTTGTAGGTCTCATAGTTGTCTTTGTAGGTCTTGTAGTTGTCTTTGTAGGTCTCATAGTTGTCTTTGTAGGTCTCGTAGTTGTCTTTGTAGGTCTCATATTGTCTTTGTAGGTCTCGTAGTTGTCTCTGTAGGTCTCGTAATTGTCTTTGTAGGTCTCGTAGTTGTCTTTGTAGGTCTTGTAGTTGTCTTTGTAGGTCTCATATTGTCTTTGTAGGTCTCATAGTTGTCTTTGTAGGTCTTGTAGTTGTCTTTGTAGGTCTCATAGTTGTCTTTGTAGGTCTCGTAGTTGTCTTTGTAGGTCTCATATTGTCTTTGTAGGTCTCGTAGTTGTCTCTGTAGGTCTCGTAATTGTCTTTGTAGGTCTCGTAGTTGTCTTTGTAGGTCTCGTAGTTGTCTTTGTAGGTCTCGTAGTTGTCTTTGTAGGTCTCGCAGTTGTCTGTGTAGGTCTTATATTGTCTTTGTAGGTATCATATTGTCTTTGTAGGTCTCATACTAACAACATGTAATCCACCAGACCCTTCCACTGTTTACCTTGTACAACAACATGTAATTCACCAGATCCTTCCACTGTTTACCCTGTACAACATGTAATCCACCAGATCCTTCCACTGTTTACCCTGTACAACTACCTTACGGCTTACGTGTGTAGAGACCTGCAGAGAAATGTGGCCTGTAGGATCATGAAGTCTCAGGCTCTCATCCAGCTCAAGCTCTACGCCGAGGCCATAACAGTCCTGCATCAACTCTTCAAAGGTCACTTCCTGCCCCAGCTGGGAAACCCAGCCTTCAGGTCTACAGAAAAACAGCCACAGGACCACACTTTTCAAGCTGACAAGTTAATTACAGACAGTGTCAATCATAAGGTAACACTTAGCCTAATTAGATGAACATAAACTAACCATTTGACACAGCTTAATTTGTGGCTTACAAACTCTTTTTTTCAATGAAGAAATTTAATCCATACAAAACGTGTAAAACATAATAGATACTTGATGGGGTCACAAGGTTAACATCAAGCTGCAAGTGCAACCAAAAATGTGTGGAAGTCTATCCAGTTGTGTCACTAGGTCAGGTGTCACTAGGTCAGGTGTCACTAGGTCAGGTGTCACTAGGTCAGGTTCACTAGGTCAGGTGTCACTTGGTCAGGTGTCACTAGGTCAGGTGTCACTAGGTCAGGTTCACTAGGTCAGGTGTCACTTGGTCAGGTGTCACTAGGTCAGGTGTCACTAGGTCAGGTGTCACTAGGTCAGGTTCACTAGGTCAGGTGTCACTTGGTCAGGTGTCACTAGGTCAGGTGTCACTAGGTCAGGTGTCACTAGGTCAGGTGTCACTAGGTCAGGTGTCACTATGTCAGGTGTCACTAGGTCAGGTGTCACTAGGTCAGGTGACACTAGGTCAGGTGTCACTAGGTCAGGTGTCACTAGGTCAGGTGTCACTAGGTCAGGTGTCACTAGGTCAGGTGTCACTAGGTCAGGTGTCACTAGGTCAGGTGTCACTAGGTCAGGTGTCACTAGGTCAGGTGTCACTAGGTCAGGTGTCACTAGGTCAGGTGTCACTAGGTCAGGTGTCACTAGGTCAGGTGTCACTAGGTCAGGTGTCACTAGGTCAGGTGTCACTAGGTCAGGTGTCACTAGGTCAGGTGTCACTAGGTCAGGTGTCACTAGGTCAGGTGTCACTAGGTCAGGTGTCACTAGGTCAGGTGTCACTAGCTCAGGTGTCACTAGCTCAGGTGTCACTAGGTCAGGTGTCACTAGGTCAGGTGTCACTAGGTCAGGTGTCACTAGGTCAGGTGTCACTAGCTCAGGTGTCACTAGCTCAGGTGTCACTAGGTCAGGTGTCACTAGGTCAGGTGTCACTAGGTCAGGTGTCACTAGGTCAGGTGTCACTAGGTCAGGTGTCACTAGGTCAGGTGTCACTAGCTCAGGTGTCACTAGGTCAGGTGTCACTAGGTCAGGTGTCACTAGGTCAGGTGTCACTAGGTCAGGTGTCACTAGCTCAGGTGTCACTAGGTCAGGTGTCACTAGGTCAGGTGTCACTAGGTCAGGTGTCACTAGGTCAGGTGTCACTAGGTCAGGTGTCACCTGGTGTTGTAACCCCCAACCTCCTACAACAATTTTACTTCTTTGGTTTGGTGTCACCCCCTACTATCTTATCGATTTCCATGGATAAAACATTGTATTGACAGAAAATTTTCACATGTTTCAATTTGGTGTCATACCCAAATGGTGTTACCTGGTGTGTCTTCCCCCCCCCCCCCCCTTTTATGACACGGCTGAGTCTTGTGTACCAGAAGATAACATGGCCTAAACATGCAGACAGTTAGCCTAAAGTTATTCTAAGGCCTTCCATGCAGATAGTTAGCCTAAAGTTATTCTAAGGCCTTCTATGCAGATAGTTAGCCTAAAGTTATTCTAAGGCCTTCCATGCAGACAGTTAGCCTAAAGTTATTCTAAGGCCTTCCATGCAGATAGTTAGCCTAAAGTTATTCTAAGGCCTTCTATGCAGATAGTTAGCCTAAAGTTATTCTAAGGCCTTCCATGCAGACAGTTAGCCTAAAGTTATTCTAAGGCCTTCCATGCAGATAGTTAGCCTAAAGTTATTCTAAGGCCTTCCATGCAGATAGTTAGCCTAAAGTTATTCTAAGGCCTTCCATGCAGATAGTTAGCCTAAAGTTATTCTAAGGCCTTCCATGCAGACAGTTAGCCTAAAGTTATTCTAAGGCCTTCCATGCAGACAGTTAGCCTAAAGTTATTCTAAGGCCTTCCATGCAGATAGTTAGCCTAAAGTTATTCTAAGGCCTTCCATGCAGATAGTTAGCCTAAAGTTATTCTAAGGCCTTCCATGCAGATAGTTAGCCTAAAGTTATTCTAAGGCCTTCCATGCAGATAGTTAGCCTAAAGTTATTCTAAGGCCTTCCATGCAGATAGTTAGCCTAAAGTTATTCTAAGGCCTTCCATGCAGTTAGTCTAAAGTTATTCTAAGGCCTTCCATGCAGACAGTTAGCCTAAAGTTATTCTAAGGCCTTCCATGCAGATAGTTAGCCTAAAGTTATTCTAAGGCTTTCCACGAAGATAGTTAGCCTAAAGTTATTCTAAGGCCTTCCATGCAGATAGTTAGCCTAAAGTTATTCTAAGGCCTTCCATGCAGATAGTTAGCCTAAAGTTATTCTAAGGCCTTCCATGCAGACAGTTAGCCTAAAGTTATTCTAAGGCCTTCCATGCAGACAGTTAGCCTAAAGTTATTCTAAGGCCTTCCATGCAGACAGTTAGCCTAAAGTTATTCTAAGGCCTTTCATGCAGACAGTTAGCCTAAAGTTATTCTAAGGCCTTCCATGCAGTTAGCCTAAAGTTATTCTAAGGCCTTCCGTGCAGACAGTTAGCCTAAAGTTATTCTAAGGCCTTCCATGCAGACAGTTAGCCTAAAGTTATTCTAAGGCCTTTCATGCAGATAGTTAGCCTAAAGTTATTCTAAGGCCTTCCATGCAGATAGTTAGCCTAAAGTTATTCTAAGGCCTTCCATGCAGTTAGCCTAAAGTTATTCTAAGGCCTTCCATGCAGATAGTTAGCCTAAAGTTATTCTAAGGCCTTCCATGCAGATAGTTAGCCTAAAGTTATTCTAAGGCCTTCCATGCAGATAGTTAGCCTAAAGTTATTCTAAGGCCTTCCATGCAGTTAGCCTAAAGTTATTCTAAGGCCTTCCATGCAGATAGTTAGCCTAACGTTATTCTAAGGCCTTCCATGCAGACAGTTAGCCTAAAGTTATTCTAAGGCCTTCCATGCAGACAGTTAGCCTAAAGTTATTCTAAGGCCTTCCATGCAGTTAGCCTAAAGTTATTCTAAGGCCTTCCATGCAGATAGTTAGCCTAAAGTTATTCTAATGCCTTCCATGCAGACAGTTAGCCTAAAGTTATTCTAAGGCCTTCCATGCAGATAGTTAGCCTAAAGTTATTCTAAGGCCTTCCATGCAGATAGTTAGCCTAAAGTTATTCTAAGGCCTTCTATGCAGATAGTTAGCCTAAAGTTATTCTAAGGCCTTCCATGCAGATAGTTAGCCTAAAGTTATTCTAAGGCCTTCCATGCAGATAGTTAGCCTAAAGTTATTCTAAGGCCTTCCATGCAGATAGTTAGCCTAAAGTTATTCTAAGGCCTTCCATGCAGATAGTTAGCCTAACGTTATTCTAAGGCCTTCCATGCAGTTAGTTGTATGATTAATTTAATACCAATCATTAATTTTGTGAGTATATTGAACAAAGCTTGACCCTGATTTTGTCTTGAAGAAACATGAAGTCAAAGAAAAACCTGCACTCTCTCCCTTTGTTTGCACTAAAGCCATTTGGAGCACATCCAATTACTTGGTAGTTTCAACATTTTTGTTTATAATTGAGATTTTCATAAAAACTTTTTTTTTTAAAAATAAACAATTTGTATTTAAATTTTTCTTAATTTTTGTGTTCAAGAAATTCTTGAAGTTTATGGATTAAAATAAGGTTATTGAACAGATTTAAGTACAGCTTATTAAATATGTAAAAAAAAAAAAGTGCTAGTTATTGTACTTATGGGCATTTTTAAGAATAAGCCAAAAAAAAATTCAAATATCGTTTCAGAAATATTTTTTGTTTTATAAATAATAATTTTTATTAAATTAATCTTAATGAAGATATTTGTTCAATTTTTTTGTTCCTAAACAATAAGCCAACTTTGTTAACATTGAATATTTTTTGCATCAATAAAAATTAAATTCCTTTTTAGTTGCAAATTTAAAAAAATAAAAAATCATATCTATTTAAAGGCTTTTGATGGTTTGTTTATTAAATAAAATGTATCATTTCTATTGAAAGGCTCTAGAAATTTTGTTCATTACATAAATGTATCAATTTTTTTTAAAAGCTCTTGAAAGTTTGTTCATTACATAAATGTATCAATTTTTTAAAAAGCTCTTGAAAGTTTGTTCATTACATAAATGTATCAATTTTTTTGAAAGGCTCTTGAAAGTTTGTTCAAACTACGGCTGCCCCAACAGCTATCTGCAGTCTATGGGCCCAACCTAGTTTGTCACCTGAATCTAGCACTAGCACAGCTGTTTACAGCTCTGGCTGGTACAATAGCTGTTGTGCCATACATTGATGAACAAGAGTAAGTACAGTTCTACTGTCTTTTGATATTTTATGTAAGTATAGTTCTACTGTCTTTTGACATTTTATGTAAGTATAGTTCTCCTGTCTTTTGACATTTTATGTAAGCCTGACTAAAGCAATATAAATACAATAAATAATATTTGAATAAATTTGTTTTATTCTTTTTTATTTTAGCTCGCTCTCCACCCACACACCCCTCTCAGAAAATAAAGCCCAGGCTAAAGATGGCAAGGCTAAAGTTTTAAGCAAAGCTCCATCTTTCATTTCTTTTAAAACTTGTAAGTTTATTGATGTCTATTATAAATATTAAACAAAATTTAAGCTAGGGAAATGATACCCTGTACAGGTCACCAACACTATCAGATTGTTTACAAGAAAAAAAAATGTTTTTATCTAGCATCATTGGGTGTAACAGTTTTAAAACACTTGTAAAAACTTCACTTCCCCCGTATACATGTGGAGCCAAAGTATTGTTTTGGATGCCTTTTGAAAAATGATCTCAAATAAAAGCCATTTCTCTTTTCAGTCATTGACCCTGAGTATCTTGGTGTCCAGTATTCAGGCTGCTTGACCGATGGCGCTAGGACACTGAGACTGGAGGAGATCAAACTAAATCTGTTGTCTGCAGCCTCTCACATCGCCCAGTCTCTTGTGGAGCCCATGCTATCCAGTTCCAAATCTGCCAAATTAGGTCAGTGCTTAATTCTATTTTAGTTAAAAGACAACTTTTTGTATGCGGATATCATTTTGGTATTAAAATAAGAGATGTATGAAGATGAAGTAGATCCTACCTGTTCCTTTGTCTTAGTTTAAGAAAAGATTTGTGGTTGTGCCACATGAACCATCTTTTCTTTCCTTGACTTCACTTAGATATCTGGACAATAGGCTTGTAACAGTTCATTGGGTGCAGATGTCTAACTTTTGGGAATTATTCTTGCCTCAAAATCTGCATATAAACTTGACACTTTTAAAAATTTATTTTGAGTTTTGGCTGATAAAAGTGATGCTGACTCTAACAAGAGATGTTAAATTCTTGTCAGAAAATTTTGTGGCTGCGGAGGTTGAGCTGGTGGTGAAGGGCAAGCTACTGCAAGCTGAGATAGCCAATCAGAAGCACCATGCACCAATGGCAGCTCAACTTGTACTGGAGGCTTTAGCAATACTGCAGGATGCTGCAGTTTTTAAGCAGCAAAAAACGCAACAAGGAACTTCTAGGTAAGTTGCTAAGCTAAGTTTCTTGCAAGCAAAATTCATTTTTTTTCTTGTACAAAAATTATCATTCTGATTATTCTAAGTTTTGGTATCGAAACAATAATTCATGATTTCCAAATTACTTAATATTCTGCACGACATTCTTAAGATTGTTTTCTCAAAAAAGCAAGAAGATCTTCCACACCCTCTCCCTTCAGAAGATAACTACACATCCTTCCCCACCTTTCCCTGATAAAATCTCCTTTCTTTCATTAAGGATTATTTAAGTTTTGAACTATTAAGCCATAATAGCTTTTATTATCTATTGTTACAAAAACCATTATGTTGTGTCAATCTAAATTATTTCAGAGAAGAAACCATCAAAAGTGATAGGTAAAGGACTTAATAGTTTTCATCCCCTTGTCTAGAAGTTTTTATCCTATTTCACCTAGTTCTTGCATGTTATTGATGTAGTATTTTCTCCACTAGCTAGATCTAGTAATCCCCCTACTTCTGTTAGTGCTACATAGGGCACAACAGGAGGTTGATTGTTTATTTCTGATTAGATCTACATTTGGTGGCTTACTTCCAAAAATGAAGTCGCACTATATGTGACATTAGTACAAATTAAACTCAATACCCTCACCCCCCTTCCCCCCCCAGGAAATTTTATTTTTATTTGGATGACCCCCCTAGGAATAGCAGATTGCTTTTTTTTCTATTAGATACTTGGGCTCATTGCTTTTTTCTATTAGATACTTGGGCTCATTGCTTTTTTCCATTAGATACTTGGGCTCATTGTTTTTTTTTCTATTAGATACTTGGGCTCATTGTTTTTCCATTAGATACTTGGGCTCATTGTTTTTCCATTAGATACTTGGGCTCATTGTTTTTCTATTATATACTTGGGCTGATCATTTATTTCTTAGATACTGGTGCTGTTAACTTACTCCTATAAGATAGGCCATCATAGGCTAATTGCTTCATTCCTTTAGATACTAGAGCTCATTGCTTCATTCCTTTAGATACTAGAGCTCATTGCTTCATTCCTTTAGATACTAGAGCTCATTGCTTCATTCCTTTAGATACTAGAGCTCATTGCTTATTTTTATTAGGTAGCCCTACTAGACAAATGTTTTTTTAATAATTTTTTTTCTTCTAAATAGAAGTATAGGCAAAAGCAATTGGGATGTTGACTTTTTTTCTACATGCAATTATAATTTTTATTTTCTGCATGAGAATATATTAGTAGCTTTAGCTTGTTTTTTTTTTTTAGTCTTTTTTTAATCAAATGTAACATTTGTGTTTACAGCTTACTTAATTAAAATCTTAAACTTTAAAGATGATGGATTGTTTTATATTTACCTGGAAATTTGAAAACATTATATAGCATAAGTACTTCTAAATTTAAAAAAATAAACATTAGTATACCTAATTTGAATTGGGTTAAATTATTATTTTTATAAGATGAATTTTGAGAGATGCTTAATTAGCTGTTTAATTATCCAATACTTTCCAGACCATCATCCTTAAAAAATAGCAGCAAAAGCTCTAAAAAAGCTGCAGAGAGGAGAAATAGTTTACCAGATTCTTCTGGCCATTATCTGAATTTGCTGGCAAGATATCGGCTGGATACTAGGCTCTGGCTACAATGTCGCTTAGCTCTGGTCCAGTCTTTGTTAATGCAGATTCAAGGCATGGGAAAAGTCAAAGGTCAAAAACATTTTATTTTGCTTGAATTTTTTTTTTTACTAAATGTGAATACATTACTTATGCTAAGAAGGGTTTAGACATATTTTTGCTTATTGACATATGATACACTTGCTGTATAAAAAGATTTTAAATTAGACCTATTTTTCTTACAAATATGATATGACATATTGTATAAAAATATTTTAGACATATTTTACTTATAAACATGACATTATATATTTGCTGTGTAAAAAGGTTTCAGATCTATTTTTCTTTTAAAAACAGCTGTTTCAGATGGAGCCAGAAGTGTACAGACCAATGTTGCAGACTGTCGCCAATACTGCGCTGAAGGTCTTGGAGAAGCAGAAGCGTTTAAAAATGTGGAAATCCAAGCAAAGTTTTTGTATTTGGCTTCACAGCTCAACATTATTGAAGGAAAGAGTGTTGAACATACTTTAACATTAATAAAGGTAATTATTACTATATTGAGGTATTTAGCCAGGTTAATATACAATGTATATATAAATTAGTGTGATAGGTTGGCTCTCTCTGTCTTGCACCCAGGATTTCTTTCAGGCATCTCTCTAGGAGGGATGGAGGCATTACCCTCATTGTAAGGCGTATACATGAGAATGGTTTCAGTCAGGAGTTATTGGCCTTGAGAAAGTTAGCCAGGACCTGATATACACGGGTTGCCAAATACATAATTATTGGAATTTTAAAATACATCACCATGGTGGACAGATACCAATGTTATGCTGATATCCCTACTTTTGTTTGCACTTCACATGTCTTTTGGCACAAAGAGTTGGATTTAAAAAGTAATTCTTTGAGAATACTGTATTTTTCAGGACGGAGCTGAACTGCTGAAAACTGTAAGAGAAAGATCCCCAGAGGGAGAGCAACTGTTGGCTACCTGCATCATCTTCAAGGCTGACCTCGAGGCTTCGGCAGCCAAGACATGCCCCGATGCAGACACCTGTCTCAAGACAGTTTATCTTTCTTACCTGGAAGCTCATAGTCTTATTTTAAATCAGGTATAAGTCTGAATAGGACAGTCGATTAGCCATAATTAGAATATGTTACAAGCTTATGTGGATATATTGGGAGGTCCAATGAAATAACAATTTTACTTATTGTTTATATTTTTCCTAAGGTTTTCTGAAGATTTTTTTAGTTATTTTACCAATGTAGCAGTCAACAGTAATAAATTGCTGTTTGTGGGCCATTTGCAGCCTATCTAATTTAGAAATTATGTTCCCATGTTTCAAAAATCACTTTTGTTCATTTAAAAAACTAGACATTGTACACAGTGTAATAGGATTAAATATATAATATATGGCTTGTAGTTAAAATTTGTGAAATCCTAACAACAGATGTGTGTTTAATGTTTAATGATTAATTAGATGGAGACTTTTGGAGAGAAAATTGAGCGCCAGAGTTTAGCCTACAACTCAGCTCCCCTGGCTCCTCTACTCAACATTTTCCATCCACTGTTGCCATTGTTAACTCAAGTCAAGCATAGGATCGGCCACTTTAAAGCTCGGGATACAGCCAGACTTATTAAGAATGGGTAAAACGGCTACATTTGTTCTTCATTGGGTAAAACGGCTACATTCTTTCTTCATTGGGTAAAATGGCTACATTTGTTCTTCATTGGGTAATACGGCTACATTTGTTCTTCATTGGGTAATACGGCTACATTTGTTCTTCATTGGGTAAAATGGCTACATTTGTTCTTCATTGGGTAAAACGGCTACATTTGTTCTTCATTGGGTAATACGGCTACATTTGTTCTTCATTGGGTAATACGGCTACATTTGTTCTTCATTGGGTAATACGGCTACATTTGTTCTTCATTGGGTAATACGGCTACATTTGTTCTTCATTGGGTAATACGGCTACATTTGTTCTTCATTGGGTAAAACGGCTACATTTGTTCTTCATTGGGTAATACGGCTACATTTGTTCTTCATTGGGTAATACGGCTACATTTGTTCTTCATTGGGTAATATGGCTACATTTGTTCTTCATTGGGTAATACGGCTACATTTGTTCTTCATTGGGTAATACGGCTACATTTGTTCTTCATTGGGTAATACGGCTACATTTGTTCTTCATCGGGTAAAACGGCTACATTTGTTCTTCATTGGGTAATACGGCTACATTTGTTCTTCATTGGGTAATACGGCTACATTTGTTCTTCATTGGGTAATACGGCTACATTTGTTCTTCATTGGGTAATATGGCTACATTTGTTCTTCCTGGTTTGGCTTATAAAATACTAGCTGGTGCCATTAGCAATATGCAATAATCAGATTATTTTTTTTTAATCAAAGAATTTAGCATTTTCTAGCAACTAACAACAAATAACTGTTTTTAAAATTTAATTTTATTCTGTTAGAAATAATTTAACCAAACACAACACATGGCAACAGTTAAATAAAAAAATTTAACTCTCACATGACAACAGTTAAATAAAAATTTTAACTCTCACATGGCAACAGTAAAATAAAATTTTTACTCTCCATTTCAGCCAGGTGTCCAACATGAAGGATATGTGGACAGATTGTTTACGAGTTTTGATGACATCGTTGCAACTTTCTCAAGTTAGCGCCATGAGAGAAGCAGCAACAGAATCTGAGCTTCTGTTTTTGATAGGCAAGTCATGTTAACTCTTTGTTGGTATTGAATTACATAGGCAAGTCATGTTAACTCTTTGTTGGTATTGAATTACATAGGCAAGTCATGTTAACTCTTTGTTGGTATTGAATTACATAGGCAAGTCATGTTAACTCTTTGTTGGTATTGAATTACATAGGCAAGTCATGTTAACTCTTTGTTGGTATTGAATTACATAGGCAAGACATGTTAACTCTTTGTTGGTATTGAATTACATAGGCAAGACATGTTAACTCTTTGATGGCATTGCATTTTGGTAACTATTGTTGACATTGAGTGACATTTGAAACTTTTGTAGCATTAAAATGTACACATTTTGTCAATGGTTTGTTGGATGTTGTAAGTTGTAGAGTAACTTTTTGCTACTTTTATTTGTACAGGTAAGATCCAAAAGATGTTGGTATACTCAGGACATATACAATAAATTTTTTGTTGAATGTTGTAAGTTGTAGAGTAAGTTTTTGCAACTTTTATTTGTACAGGTAAGATCCAAAAGATGTTGGTATTCTCAGGACATATGCAACCTTCTGCAGCTGCCCACACTCTACTTCAAGCTATTTATATTTCATATTTAAATAACCACGATCTTGGGTGAGTATGTCAGAAAAATGTGTTCAAAGCTTAGTTTGAAGGAAGTAGATAATTGAAATGTAATTAATAAAAACGAAATTAATATTTAAATTACAAATATTTTTAGTTTAATGAGACAAGCTTATCTGGAGATAGCCTTGATCTACATGCAGAAAGCCAAAGTTATCAGGGTCAAAAATAGTTTTATGTTTGAACCCATCAAAAACAAGGTCAGTATGTCAAGGTCACTATGTCAGTTGGTCATGTTTATTAGGTCAGTCATGAAAACTTTAGCCCAGAGAAATGGATTTGAAATTTAAGCATAATTAAATGTATCAGTAACATATCCATTTGTTGAAGAATGTTTAGTAACTTTTTGTAAAAAAAATTTCCCTAGTATATTCTTGTTTAAAATTAAATACCTGCATATACATTAATATATTTTGGCATTAGATCTGTTATATTTTTTTACTCTGATGTAATTTTTAAATTTAAATGACCAGTCTGGAACAAAACAAGACAAGAAAGAACAAGAAATTTCTGATGAGAAGAGAGCCGTCTGGTTAGCACTGCGATGTGCGGCAGGTACCGCCTCTTCTCAGAGATCTAGGAACCTCCTGATTGGTGATCAAAGTGTTGCCTCTCAAAAGCTGGGGGAAAAGTGTGAATCTGTCCCAGACTTTATAGCACTGGACCTGCTAGGAGGATCTGTTCTTGGTCAAAAGAAAAAAGTTTTTAAAAGTGAGTTGTTTTGTCAAACTAAAATGATAAAAATGAATCCTTTTTCCAAAAAAAAAGGAAAATAGTAAATTAGCCTTTCACTTCAGGTCTACTAGACCATTGGACAAATGAGTTAATCCTTTTTTAGATCTGCACACACAAAAAAAAATGTCAAATGTAGTGTGGTCAGCAATAAGACAAACCAACTAACCAGCTCTGATCAGGAATAAGCTCAACCTCCTTTGGCCAGCAATTAGCCTTATTAACTTTACTTTCTGTTTATCCCAAACCAAGATATCCCATCTTATCCCAAGCCAGGACATCCCATGTTTATCCCATGTTTTGGTTCATCAAAAAAAATTTTCCCTTCATTTTGTATTGTGTGGAATATTTTTTCTAGCTGCCATTGAAGAAGAAATGTCAACTATGTTTGAATGTTTTTTTAGCTGCCATTGAAGAAGAAATGTCAACTATGTTTGAAGCCCAGGAGGTAAAGACCCCTCAGACATATGATGAACAGCTATACCATGCCAAAGCTGAATCCAAGGTCCTCAGTTGGATTCATTTGCTTGGTGGGTTCTTTTATATTTACTTATCTTGTTTTACAGCAGGATTTAATCTTTCTTGTTTGAAGAGTTCTGTGTGGCAACACATTGTTTACATGTTTGTTCTGTGTGGCAACACAATGTTTACATGTTTGTTCTGTGTGGCAACACAATGTTTACATGTTTGTTCTGTGTGGCAACACAATGTTTACATGTTTGTTCTGTGTGGCAACACAATGTTTACATGTTTGTTCTGTGTGGCTATACAATGTTTACATGATCGGAGAATGTGTTTACATTACATGAGATCAATAAGTGATTGAAAGTAATCCAGATTTAGAATTAAGAATTGAATGCCACCATGCCATGCAAGTGAGTGATTGATTAAAATATTGATCTCTGCAGGCTACCAGTCCATCCTGCAGCGGCTGATGAACACCTCAACCATTTCTGTCAGCACAGAGACTACAGCTGATTCAGCCAGCCAGTTTGACGTCAGCGCAAACCATGATGTTGTCAGATACATGCTACACTCAGGCTAGTTGTTACTTAGTTGTCTCTCTGTTTGTTTGTCTGTGGGTTTGTGGTCCATCTAGTAATTCATTTTAGATCCTCATTCCAGATCATTTTCATGATAACACAAGTAAACCTAGAAATTTCAAGCTTAAAAATTCATTAAAATCTTGTTGTTAGAGTTCATGATCAGCCAACACTTTACCGCAGAAATTGCTGTTTTCAAATAAATATTGGAATCAAATTTCATTGATTGAACTTGTTCTAATCTACCTGTCTGTGCAGGTGTATGGTCCAGCCGTTTAACCCAGTTACACAGGTACTTGACCAACAAGCTGAAGATCTATGCTACAGAATGCAGTGGGGCCTTTCCTTCCCATGGCCTAGCGCAGCAATTACCACAAACAAATCCGTTAGACCTGAAAATCAGCACCCAGTCGTATGCAGTTAATCAGGGTCCTGAGGTAGACAGTGAAAATACTAAAGTAAGTTTCTCAACCTTTTAGTCCTCAGACTATTGCAAGAAATCCTTTTATTAAAATGGATGCTCTTATTCTTTGAAAAATGGAATCCCCTGGGGAGCAAAGGCTGAAGCTGCACCTCACCAATGGAATGTTGTTAAAATAAAGGAAAGTTGCCTTTTGAACTTGATGGTCCATGGGTCAAGTGAAGTAAAGTTCAACTGTTTGTGTGACCTCTGCAAATGAACTGATAGTGCGGTCAGCAATATCCCCAGCCGCTTTTATTTTTCATAACGAGTCAGGTAGCCATCAGAGAAGAGTGAACTCAGGGACGTTCTAATGACTTGAATCCAGATTTCAGCCCAAAACTTGAGTTAGCAGTTATAAGCTCTACCATTTGACTGTGTCATCCCATTCTCTTAAGTTGAGCCCAAGTAGACCCCTCAGCTCTTGTTTCATCTTCAAAAGTCATTCCCCATACCTGACCTTTTTTTCTCTTAACCTGTGAGTTATTCTCCAACACTTACTTCGCTATGTTTTTATCTGTTCATTTAGGCTCTCTGAGACTTTTTTTATTATTGGGGTTTATGGACAACATTTTCTTATTGGGTTATGAGACATTTCTTGTTATCGGGGTCTATGAGACAACATTGTCTTATTATTGGGGTCTATTAGACAACATTTTCTTTTTATCTGGATCTATGAGACAACATTTTCTTATCTGGGTCTATGAGACAACATTTTCTTGTTATCTGGGTCTATGAGACAACATTTTCTTGTTATCTGGATCTATGAGACAACATTTTAATTTTATCTGGATCTATGAGACAACATTTTCTTTTTATCTGGGTCTATGAGACAACATTTTCTTGTTATCTGGATCTATGAGACAACATTTTAATTTTATCTGGATCTATGAGACAACATTTTCTTTTTATCTGGGTCTATGAGACAACATTTTCTTGTTATCTGGATCTATGAGACAACATTTTCTTGTTATCTGGGTCTATGAGACAACATTTTCTTGTTATCTGGATCTATGAGACAACATTTTAATTTTATCTGCACCTATGAGACAACATTTTCTTTTTATCTGGGTCTATGAGACAACATTTTCTTTTTATCTGGGTCTATGAGACAACATTTTCTTGTTATCTGGATCTATGAGACAACATTTTCTTATCTGGGTCTATGAGACAACATTTTCTTGTTATCTGGGTCTATGAGACAACATTTTCTTGTTATCTGGATCTATGAGACAACATTTTAATTTTATCTGGATCTATGAGACAACATTTTCTTTTTATCTGGGTCTATGAGACAACATTTTCTTGTTATCTGGATCTATGAGACAACATTTTAATTTTATCTGGATCTATGAGACAACATTTTCTTTTTATCTGGGTCTATGAGACAACATTTTCTTGTTATCTGGATCTATGAGACAACATTTTCTTGTTATCTGGGTCTATGAGACAACATTTTCTTGTTATCTGGATCTATGAGACAACATTTTAATTTTATCTGCACCTATGAGACAACATTTTCTTTTTATCTGGGTCTATGAGACAACATTTTCTTTTTATCTGGGTCTATGAGACAACATTTTCTTGTTATCTGGATCTATGAGACAACATTTTAATTTTATCTGCACCTATGAGACAACCTTTGACCCCAACGTTAAACTTTTCCAGCCCAGGGTGCCACTTCCACCAGGGTCAATAACTGACCAGTTTAGACCAGCAGACAAGTCGGCAGTCCTAGTGGCAGAGCCTGAAGTTTGTGTCCTGTGGTACCAGCCCTCCCTGGCTGAGTCTGGCTTCAACGTGCCTGACACCAGAGCCCAAAGAACCCAGATACTTATGTGTTACTGCATTACGCAGAAACTCAACTACTCGTATGTGCAAGAACCAAGCATTATGTGGATGCCATTACAAAAAGTCACTGACATGCATAACAGGTAAACATAGCCCATGGGGTTCAATACAGGCAGGCTTTACATACAATAATTCAACAGGCAGGTTTTACATGCAATAATTCAACAGGCTGGTTTTACATGCAATAATTTAAGATGAAAACAACTGATAAAATCATGTTCCTCACTTGACATACAAAATATCATTGACAATACTACAGATCACATGAATAGATCACATGAATAGATCACATGAATAGATCACATGAATAGATCACATGAATAGATCACATCCATAGATCACATCAATAGATCACATCAACAGATCACATCAATAGATCACATCCATAGATCACATCCATAGATCACATCAAAAGTGAAGTTAGATGTAAACCATATTTTACTTTATTTAAATTAACTTTTGAGTCTACAGATGATGAGTACAAAGTTTAGATAATAATGAAAAGCTTCCATTGACAATATGCAGGTTTAGAGTAGGCTAATATTTTTATAGCTGGAGTTATCAGTCAGTCTAAACAAATCAGCTACATCATACATAATAATTCTTTTACAAACTGTCACTATTGGTTATAAGTATAATCATGATAAATTATTTATTTATACTTGAAAATGTCCCACTGTATTTACCAGACTGACCTCCCTTGTTCAACTTGCTGAAATCTCCCTGATGGATCAAGTCAAGGAACCAACTACAAGTACAAGTGCTGCCTCTCCATCAGCTGCACGAGCTAAGAAGGTGACTCAACGGATTAAACCACTTTCACCTAAAATTAAGAAGGATGAACAGTTTGAGGTAAGTAATGAGTTAAAGATGAGGCCTCATTTTTTACTTTATTTTTTTCATTAAACACATTTGTAACAAAAGATAAACTCTTCTGTGGGAACATTTTATTTTTTTGTTTTTCTATTCTAGATCCTGTTAAAGCAGTGTATTGAGGATTGCTTAGCATTGTTTGGTAAATTTCAGGAAGTTACGCTTGATGATAAGGTTGGTTTGAATTTTTTTAAATTTCTGATGTTATGTTTTAAAACCCTTGTGAAGATTGTGTGAATTAAAAATTATGTGAGAAATAAACAATTTCCACTAATTATATTTAATGATGAAATAGCATCATTTCCAATGTGTAGACCTTAGTTACCTGACATGTGGAGATTCTTTTCTATAAATGAAATCTCAAAATATCCACATCACAACTTCTTACAACTTTTGTCTCTCTAAAACTTTATTTAAATCAAATAAAATCTCAACATATCCACATCACAACTTCCTACAACTTTTGTCTCTCTAAAACTTTATTTAGATCAAATAAAATCTCAAAATATCCACATCACAACTTCTTACAGCTTTTGTCTCTCTAAAACTTTATTTAAATCAAATAAAATCTCAAAATATCCACATCACAACTTCCTACAGCTTTTGTCTTTCTAAAATTGGATATCAGATTTTAAAAATAAAATATTGGTTTCAGAGCCCATTTGAGATCACACTGACAAACATCAAAGCTTTAGAGAACATGTTTGACCCAAGGGTTGGCCTAACAATGAGAGGTAACTCTAACTTCCTCCAGTGGTTGATCAACTGTCTACAGACATAAACAAGCTCTATTTACACTCGTCCATCAACAGCTGACTGCAATGTTGAATATTCGTTGACTAAATCATCTTATGAATAAATCGTTGCTTGTCAAGCTATCAAATGTTGTTTGTTTTAATTTATTGCAAATGTAGGCTTGTCTTTATCAAAGGCTAATAAAGTGACAGAAAAGAAAGATTAGGCCTTTATTAATATTCATGTAGACTGTAGACTTAACAGTCTAGAATTCCCCATCATTTTTAATTTATTTTAAAAATATTTTTACTTCTGTTTTAGTCTGTATGGATTAAGTTTTTAATTAATTATTAATACCATGTTATAATTAATGCATTGTAATTTGACTGTTGGTTGTATGGAATAAAATATGTATTTCTTTTCTGGAGCATCATGTGAAACACAATAAAAACTTTCAATACTGTCTTGCTATAAATACATAACAAAATCAAATTAACAGTAAGATTGTATCACTTAGATTAAATATATGTATTGTTCTAAAGGTTTGGTTAATATTAGTTTATATTGACTGATGCCAATAGACTACTTCGTATTAAAGTTGTTTTAATTTTAAATTATCCATAGTTTATTGAACTTACTTGACCTTTATGTGTTATTATTCATTTTTTACTCTTTTATTTTAAACCAATGTTAAAAGAAAATTGAGCAGATTTGATTGTGTAATGATGTAACTTGTTTTAAGATTCAATTAATTATATAGTTTGTGTGTCTTTATTTTATTATGAAATGAAACCAATCTTGATTTCCTAATATATATGCATTATGTGATCAGTCTATTATTATTTTGGCTTTCAGTATAATTGAATTAAGGTATAAATATATATATCAAGTGTTACAATTTTTCAAAAGTACAATTTTTCAATAAAAAGTTTAAAGATAATAGAAAACTTCTCTGTGGAGTAATTGCATTCAAACTACAGACCAAGGCTTTTCACTCATGGGGGGGTGGGGGGGGGGGCATCAGAGGGTGTGATGTATACTTTTAAATATATTTTAGGGATGGGGTAGGCTAGGTTTCCATCACATGAGATCTGCCGATAACCTTACAACCATACATTATAAATTACAAACATGAGCTTTTACGTTTAAAAAAAAAACTTGCTTTTATACAAGAGGTTTGTTAACATTAAATAGGAAAACATTTGTTTCCTCACTTGCCACCCTGTAGATCTGCCTCTAGGCCAGTCTAGGCAAAAAATTAAATTCAGAGAGAGAAAGAAGCAAAATTATTGTGTGCATAGGTTCAGCTAAATACACAGGTTCTTACTGTGTTCAAATACCATTTTTTGCCTAGTCTCCAGGGATTGTCTTAATAATTTCACACGAGGACATCAATAAATACAACACATATGGCGGGGGGGGGGGGGGGCAGCTTGGGATTATTAATGTAGAAAATTATACTGGGGATTGAGTGCATCACACAGAACATTCTGTTTTACAACCATAATAGTTTTTACATTTTTAGCAAATAGATCTCACAAATAATTCAGTTATGTAACCATCATAGTTTTAGCATTGTTGTGAGGGGGAAGCTGTGAGCAAAAATGAGGAGACGGTGCCTCACTAGTACGGGTGAGACCCAGTGCAGTATTTTTAGGACTGTCACCTCCCTCCCCGCCCACCAAAAAACAACTAAATATATGATCACTACGCTACTGCTTGGGTACAGTCTAAGCAGCTGCTATAGTCTTATCATTTTATTTATAAAGGCAACTCTAATCGTTTTTTTTTTTTTTTTTTTTTTTTTTTTTTTACCAAGGCAGTGGTTCTTAGCCTTTTTCGATTATCAAGCCTCGCCAATTTTATGTGCGTATTCATCGAACCCTTCTAAGGGGTCGTCCATAAATGAAGTCATACTCGTAAGGGGGGTGGGGGGGGCGTAATTTTGTGACGGTGTGTGATGAGGGGGAGGTGGGTGGGTCAGATGGTGCGACGTCACACTTTTGCATTATAAAAAGACAATGTTAGAAAAACTAATTTTAGACGTTATCTCGCGCTTTAGAAAACTGTTTTTAATAAATTGTAATAGGAATTGATTAAAATACTCTATTTTGACCGAGTTCAGACAAGATTTTAGAAAAATATCGATGTTTAAAAAAAAATTCAACTGCAATTTTTGAGGGGGGGGGGGTTGTAGGCTGAGGTGTGACATCATTTGAGGGAGGGAGGTAAAAATCGTCAAAAAAAAAGCGTGACGTCATTTATGGATGACCCCTTAACAGTTATGTAGTCCGCATTGACAAAATCCGATCGTGAATCATGTGAGTCGGGTGCGTGTCTTGACCTCCGTCGAACCTCTGAGACTGACTCACCCAACACCTGGGGTTCGATCGATCGAACCCAGGTTAATAGAACCACTGTCCTGAGGGGATCATCCATAACTGACGTCATGCTTTTTTGACGGTTTACCCCCCCCCCCCCCTATTCCCGTCGTCACATATAACATCATAAAAACACTCCTAACCCGTGATTTGACTTCACATTTCAACCAGTGTTTCTTCCAGGCATCACTTCCAGAGTTTCTTCCAGGCATCTCTTCGGGGGGGGGGGGGGGGGCTTTGCCCCCCGAAAATTTTTTATACCGCCCCCCCCCCCCCGAACGAAATGAAATTTATATAATTTATTTAGAAAATATATACTTTTAACAGTGTCCGGCCCCCCCCCGCCCCCCCCCCCCGAAGAAAGTTTACCGCCCCCCCCCCCCCCCCGAAAATTTCAAGTGCCCCCCCCCCCCCCCCGGAGAAAAAAGTCTGGAAAAACACTGATCACTTCAACAACCCCCCCCCCCCCCCCCAAACGAGAGTCTGCCGCCCCCGAAAGAAATTTAATTTATATACTTTTAACAGTCTCCGCCCCCCCCCCCCTCCCGGAAATTTTAGTCCGCCTCCCAATAGTCAATTTCTGTTACAATTTACAGGGAAAAAAAAAGAAAAAAAAAACAGCATTAAAAAAAAACATGAAATGACAGCTAAATATCAGTTTCTACTTTTAAAAATGCAAAAGTGTGTCGTCACTCTTTCTGCACACCCTCCCCTCGCCAACACGTTGTCGCCAAATCACCCCTCCCCCTCCCTTTTCACAATCGGTGAGTGACAGCGTTGATGGGCGACTTCTGATTATATAATCACGCAGGTCTAAGATACTGTATAGGCCAGGCCTATACTCCCTTTAGATTTCTAATTACTTTTAGTTAAGTATCTCTTTTTAGCCAACTGCGTAGGCAGCAGGCCTACTAAAATTGATAAACTCTAACTTGCTTAATTATCAGGTAATACATTTTTATCTCTTAATATTTTTAATAAATAGGCCTACATCAGCATATATCTCTAAGAGATCTCTCAAATTAACCATACCAAATACAACTGCTAGTTTAATAAGCTATTTATATATCGTGTAGTATTGCAATAAATTCCATTGGGTCAGCAGTCTAGCCTGTTAATAAATCCAATATTTCGATTGGATGTGGGATTCCCAACATCGGGAATCACGTACAGTGCGAGACCTAAAACGGAAGTACCATAGTTCATTGCGCGTATTTAGAAAGTTTCTATCAGAAGCACTGAAGCGTAAACTCAGCCGACCGAGAACCAAGGAAGTGTTAGTTTTTTGGATAATCCGCGTAGGATATCTGATGTCCAACGCATTTCAAACAATATGTCAGAACGGCGAAGCAAGAAGGAGAAAGAAATTGTCAATGAATATGAAAATCATTTGCGAGGTAAGTTTTGAAGAATGTTTATTTTATTTTTTCTAGAAATTTTATCATTTCGGATTCATTCTCATTTGATCTCAATCGAATAGCGGAATTCAAACTTTGAAACCTAAACATAAAAATAACTCGGCTGTGTCTGATTTGAAAATAGAGGAGTACATTAAACTTAAACTAATCAACTACTCTAACCTAACTCAAGACATTTAAATGACCTAACTCAAGACATTTAAATACTAGAATCTAGATCTAGTCTAGATCTAGATCTAGATCTAATTCTAAAGTCTAAACTCTAAACTAAACTAAACTTAAACTAAAAAACTTGTCTTAGACTCTTAGTTCCAACAGTATGCTAAGCCTCTACGACTCTACTCTAAGCAAGGCAAGGCCCTAAGGTGTTTTTTACTATTCTTCTAGATTCAGATCTAGATCTAGATCTAGTTATATATCTAGCCTATAGTAAGACTTTAGAATTAAGAATAGATCTAGACTTTCTCTATATTTGGAATCTAGATGATCAGACTCTATTCTAAAATTTAGACTAGAATCTTCATAATCTTGATCTAGAATCTAGAGATGTTTAAAGTGAGCAGGCCTGAATACACAAAGTACAAAGCATAAACTGTACACATAGATAAAAAAAGATATGTTTTGTATGAGTATTTCAGTAGTGGTTATACAGATAGAAATCTATATCTAAATCTACCTAGATCTAGATTCTAGATCTACACACTTACACACTAACTACAGTAGTGTGAACTACTATTAGCTGCCACCAATGTACTGTAAGGAACAGTTAGAGTGTGTTTTAAAACTTTAGGCATAATAATATGTGTACACAAGTTAATTTGGCTCAATTATAAAGGTCTAAATAAATATAAATTGCAATATATTATTATATAGGCTGGCTATAAGTGTTCCCTCTGAGCTGCGTGGCCGCGCAGTAGCTTTGTAAAATATATATATCCTTGTATAAGACTTTTAGAACACAGCGCACACCAAATACAAGTTGTACACTAGCCTTTTCTCCTTAGAGGTAATGTTGCTGGCCATCCAGACCTAGACTCTATAATTATTAATGTATAACCCTAGGCCTATACCTTGTATTAACAAAGGTGGTGGGGTAAAATTGTTTATTAATTTTTCTGTGCCTATATTAAGTCATGTAAAATATAGGCCTAAAGTACTAGTAGGTAGGCCTATATAAAATCACAAACTCAAAATAAGATCAAAGTGTCCATAGCCATTGCACTAAATACTTCTTTCTATCAAATGCACAACACAAATTCATTTATTACTTTCTGAAGGAATAGCTGGTGTAGTTTCCAAATTAATTGGTGGGCAATGTTTGGGATAGACCAGTGAGCAAACTTCTTATTGCATTTGTCTAAAACCTGCAAACTTCATGAGATGTACTCAGTTTTTTCTTTAAAAAAACAATAGTAATAAAAACACAACGCTGAGTCAAAAACTTTTCTACTTGTAATGACATTGGGTAGTGGTGACTGCAGTTTATGCTAGTGTAAAGTAAACAGGCAGCACTAAAGTTCTGCTTGCACAGTAAATTACTTCTGCTTGGTATGATTCATGTACATTGTACATACAAAAATTCAGATAAAGATTGGGGAGGGGTGAGAATTGGCACCTATCTCAGTTGTGGGAGGGGGGGGGGGGTATAATCATTAATAATTTTAGAATAGCAGTATTTCTTTTTAAAATGTATGGCATGTTTTAATAATAATATTATACATGTTTATTATCAGTTAATTTGCCTTGATCTATATTCTGCTGTTGAGCAAAGTTCTGCCATGATTTGTGTTTTTTTTTGTCTTTAAACACTGGTCATTGAGAACTTTTAAACTGTTTAAAATCAGAATTTATGGTTGTTGTTTGATGTTTATTTGAATTTGTGTCTGTCACATGCCAGTTAATCCTCCTGGTTGTTGTAGCACATAGTGCATTGTTGGGACTGACCAGGAAGTGAATATTGAAGTGGTTCCCGCCTCTTCAAGGGTCCAACAAACACCAGCTCCACAACATTGCACAATTTAAGGCTTTGTTTTCATTCTGCACTATTTTGTGTTGGTGTATAACTGTATTAGAAGC